GAAATATTAGAGACTCGCTAGAGTATACTCGCACTCGATAACTCAACCCTACTTGCTCCTTAGTACCCTAAGGATTCTTACTTGGACTGCGCACTGATCTGGTGTCTTCAGTAGTACGGGCCCTATACTACCGTCCACACCGCATCAGTATTCACCCCAAGTCCTCCTCCTAGGATCCCAGATCACAAGTACTCTAATCTCGCTACGCATAAGCCACTCTCCAGCAGACCCCTCATAAGCTCCTCACTGCTACCTACTCACTCTCAAGCATCTCATAGCAGTAGTAATCTCCTAGACTAAGGCATCACAAATCAGGCCACTCTAGTCCTAGTATGAATACCTAGCCTACTTTAGCATGCATAACATATCATATCATATCTCATAACACATAATATAAGGGTATTTTGGGAAATCAAGGGCGCTGGCTGATCGTACACACTGCTCTGTTCTGCTTGTTTCAAAACCTTCTACTCTTTTAGAAAATTGTTTTACCATGAAAGATTTTCTCAAATCCCCAGTTTGAGTTCAAATACGCCCAAAGGTGAATGCAATAATCACTATGTGAATTTTGTCTAATATGAGCCAATGCACACTCTAAAGTAAAACGGAGAACCCTTCATGGCCCAAGATCCTTTATAATCAGTATAATACATTCAAGATGATAATGGCAAGATGATACATCATAAGAAACATACATTGAATAAATTTTCAAGAAATAGTGATTATGCTAACTAGCATGCTCTCTAATGCAAAATTAAGGATAGACTTATTTACAAATATATCAAGACTACTATTTTATCAGCATTATTTGTTACCAAAAAGTTTGCAATTATATGAATAACAGGATTATATTAAAAAACATAAATTTTTTAAAACAAGAACTAGTTTAGGTTTGAGCTCATAGTGTAAAATGTTTTTGGAATGGAAAGAGCAGATGACAAGAACATGAAATACTCAATGAACCTAGCGGCTGTTTGAAATGCCTGTTATTGGGTCTTGTAAGAGGTTGGGTGTAATTTGGTCAGATTCACACTGTTTGATATTACACTTAGAAGTCTCTGTGTAACGACGACATTTTCAAAATAAATTTTCATTTAAAAACATAATAAAAGTTCACAATATAATTCAAAATCCATGTATCAACATCCTCTCAATAACCAAATCCCAAGATCTCAATGTAAATAAAACTCCATCTGTGTGTACGATCATGCCGGCGTCTTCCCGCGATCCTCACTGGAACCTGAAACACATAACATACAACACTGTAAGCATAAATTCTTAGTGAGCTCCCTAAAATACCATATATAACACATATTAGCCACTCGAGGCTATAACTCTATGGACCCTCTGGTCCTAACTCTGTGGACCTTCCGGTCCTAACTATGTAAACTCTGGAACATACTCAGCATAAATCACATGGAAATAATGCAGTGCATCACAATCACATAAATAGCATACAAGACACTCTATCACATAACTCTAATTACCACTCTAGGTAAAGTATAGTGAGAAGACTCACCTCGGGAAACTCGGTAACTCTCGAACTCGAAAATACTTATCTAGCCTCCGCCTAATCACATAAAATAATTACTCTAATCAATATGACTCTGAAAGGCTAGGCTATTCCCTCTCTAAGTTCTCTCAGAAGGTTAAAAGACCATTTTACCCTTCTATTGGTTCAAAAGTCCAAGTGTTGACCCAACCCTAAAAGTCAACGAAAGTCAATGGTCAAACTGATGGGTTTTGGTCATAAGAACATCCTATGTGCTAATACACACCCTAATGCTTGGATCTAGGTTTCTCTATTGTACATGCAAGTTATCCAAGACTATAAACCTTAGATCTAACATATGATAATCACTATGACATATAATTAGGGTTTAGATCATACCTTGATTGTTATGTAGCAATAACAATCCCAAACCTCCTTGTATTGACTTTAGAAAGCTTAGAGTCACAAATGTCACTCCTCTAATGGTTCACAAACACCAAGAGCAAGAGGATGAAGAGGAGAGAGGAAGGAGGCTGCCCTAAAATGTGTGAAACCCTATAAGGATGCTTAGCCACGTTTTTGGTTCATAAGGGATCTATATATATAGGAGGCTATTAGGGTTATCTAACAAGGAAACCCTAATTTGGATGCTTAAGCCCTAAGCAACCCATGGATTCCTTTCCTTAAGGCCTTGGACGATTTCCCCATGGGTTTTCCCATAGAATTCGTCCACTCCTTAATATAAGGCAATCCATAGCCCAAATTGCAATTATCTTATAATTACAATTCCAGTCCCTTAAGTTTAATTAATCTCTTTTAGTCACAAAACTAATTACTAATTAATTCTTGACTAATATTAATTAAACAATATGATTTCTCCTTTAATATATTATTCTCATAATATATTAATAAATCATATTTAATCCTTTCTCTCCATTATTCATCCTATCAAGTTGCTTTGGTGAAGGCAACCCAAAAGGACCATGCACCATCGGGTCAAGTACATACCAAAATAGTTATGGACTTAGACACTAATCCAACACAAACTTTGACTAGACTCGTCGAGTGCACATAGGTGACTCGGCGAGTCCAAACGTGTACTCTGGATCTTTCTAAACCTCACTCGACTCGTCGAGTGAACCTTCCACTCGACGGGCTACATCTGGTCACGAGTCGCGGGGCAACCCGACTCAACTCGTCGAGCCCCCTTATGGACTCGACGAGTTTCTTCCATATCCATCACCCAATTGACCTTCTGAGGTCAGATCTATTTCTCTATCCTATAGATCTGACCTCCCCATACCCAATAATCACGTAAATATCACACATCAATTTAGATTCAATTATTGTCCTGTCATTACAGCAAACAGTTGCAACAAACATAACCAGTTTTTGTCCGAGTGCTTGTAGAAAATATGAAACAAATTGAAATTCAAATTGCTTGGTCCTCCGAAAGCAATCCAATTAAGTAAACCCTAAAACAGTGATTGAAATTCATATATGATCTGCCAAATAAATTATGGAAATAAACAACTCGGGGACAGGGTTGAAAGAAATTAGAAGATTCGAAAAGGATAATAGCTTACTAAAATTTTCCTTTTTATCAATTTCTATAATGTCTGTTTCTAAAACTATTTTCGACAAGTGGCTCGTACTAATAGGACTGGATGTGGATAGAGTAATTTTCCTTTGTTCGTCATCTTTGTTTGTAAAAATTTTACTAGATTAGAATCTGAAACTTGTAAATTGATCCCCCCCCCCTCAAAATTAAAGTCAAAATCCATATTCAAATCTGAATCACGCAACTTTATTTTCACCCTCTCCCTCGTAACTGTAATGGGGAGTTAATAAGTAGCAGGTTTCAATGATTCAATCGATAGGTGAGGTAATCAGATTTGGTTATGCAATAAATTTTGCGATTGAACTCTGAATCGACGACCCCTCATCATCATTGATTTCATCTCCTTATCACTCATACACATGTAAATCAAAGCATAAAACAAAAGGTAACAATTTCACCCCACTTTCTTTCTTTGATTTGCTCTGCTTTTGTTTAGGTCTCCGATGAAAATCTCTAGACATTTGGTTGGGGAGTTTTCTACCGAGGGAAGAAGATGTCGTGTAAAGAGGGTGGGTAAGATGTCGTTCAAAAAGGAATAGTGCTATCCAAAACTCATTGTCTTCGGTGGTTGCTCCGACAGCAAAGAACGGTATAATTTTGTTAAACAACAGGACAAAATCTGTAAGTTTTTTATTAGAACAGGACCATTTTTGTAACTTTGAAAAATAGAGATCATTTTTGTAAATTTGGCCTAGCCAAAGTCCCATTGTTGTAATTTCATGAAACATAATGACAATATCTGTAATTTTATGAAACATAACGACAATATCTATAATATTTTAGTCGGGGACCATTAACAAATAGGTAGACCATTTGCATAAATAGGCATGTTTTTAGGTACCATTTACATAAATACGTATGTTTTCCTAAATCTGTCCTAAAATTGTATATATTTATATAATTTACGGGAAATTAAGATTTGTAAGAAGAGATATAAGGGAGATGGAAATTTGAGAGGAAATTCTTAAACAAATTCGATTTGAAGAGATGTAAAAAGTTATACGTAAAAAATTAATGTTTATATCTTATGATTTTATGTAAATTTATTTGTTATGATTTTTATGCAAGTTTATATAGAAGCTTCCCTTACAATTTCGCTGTCATATTTCTAAATCATTCATGCTTAGAAACATTTCTTAAAAAAAAGAATGCCAGAGTTTGCGATAAAAACTCAGACATGGTTTATGAAATAACTGAAGAGAATAAATATTGTGGTCCAAACTGTTGGAAGAAACACAACCCATATAAGGGTTTGAAAAAACATAACAAAACAAGTACCTATTGACTTCAGGTCTCCTCTTCTAAATTGAGTCTATCATATTACCATCTTGATATGCATAAAATGAGTTTATCATTTGTCCTTACTCGTCAGATCATCAAAAATTGTGGAACATTTCCTCCAAAATTAGCATTGCTGTGCACACGTTAACCATGCTGATGATGCTTTCTTTCATGTTAGCATCCCCGTGTCCTATTGATCATGTTCAACGATGTCATACTGGTTGGAATTATTTCACTTGCAACAATGGACGTGTAGTTGAGATAGACATCGGTTACTGTGACGAAAGTGACCTGATAAAGGTAATCATTTCCTCATTTCCGAGTGTTGAGAGACTAGAAATTTCACATAGTAATCTTATAGGAAACATCCTACAACAGATTGGCTTGCTGCAAAATCTGACATATAATTCTGTCTCATGGAATTATAACACAGGAGGTACCTTTCCTGTATACATTACCAATCTCACCCGATTAGAACACCTTGACCTTTCAGATAACAATCTCAGCGGAAACGTCCCATCTTAGTTGTGGAGTCTCAAGAACTTGAAGTTTCTAGATCTTGGCCACAATCAGTTGACCGGTCCAATCCTTCAATCTTTTGCTTCCATGGTCAATCTCACCCAATTAAAACACCTTGACCTTTCTCATAACAAATTCAGTGGTACCCTCCCGTCTGATCAGTTGTGGAATCTCAAGAACTTGAAGTTTGTAGATCTTGGCCACAATCAGTTGACCGGTCCAATCCTTCAATCTTTTGATTACATGTTCAATCTCACCCAATTAGAATACCTTGACCTTTCCAGTAACAGTTTAAATGGTACCCTTCCATCTCAATTGTGGAGTCTCAAGAATTTAGAGATTCTGGATCTTAGCCACAATTGGTTGACTGGTCCAATCCTTCAATCTTTTGCTTCCATGTTCAATCTCACCCGATTAGAATACCTTGACCTTTCTAGTAACAGTTTAAATGGTACCCTTCCATCTCAATTGTGGAGTCTCAAGAATTTAGAGATTTTGTATCTTAGCCACAATCAGTTGACCGGTCCAATCCTTCAATCTTTTGCTTCCATGTTCAATCTCACCCGATTAAAACACCTTGACCTTTCTCATAACAAATTCAGTGGTACCCTTCCATCTCAATTGTGGAGTCTCAAGAATTTAGAGATTCTGGATCTTAGCCACAATTGGTTGACTGGTCCAATCCTTCAATCTTTTGCTTCCATGTTCAATCTCACCCGATTAGAATACGTTGACCTTTCCAGTAACAGTTTAAATGGTACCCTTCATCTCCATTGTGGAGTCTCAAGAATTTAGAGATTCTGGATCTTAGCCACAATTGGTTGACTGGTCCAATCCTTCAATCTTTTGCTTCCATGTTCAATCTCACCCGATTAGAATACCTTGACCTTTCCAGTAACACTTTAAATGGTACCCTTCCATCTCAATTGTGGAGTCTCAAGAATTTAGAGATTTTGTATCTTAGCCATAATCAGTTGACCGGTCCAATCCTTCAATCTTTTGCTTCCATGTTCAATCTCACTCGATTAGAATACCTTGACCTTTCCAGTAACAGTTTAAATGGTACCCTTCCATCTCAATTGTGGAGTGTCAAGAATTTAGAGATTCTGGATCTTAACCAAAATCAGTTGACCGGTCCAATACTAACATCTTTTGGTTCCAAGCTCGATCTCACCATATTAGTACACTTTGACCTTTCTGGTAAAAGTTTTAGTGGTACCCTACCATCTCAGTTGCGGACTCTCAAAAATTTAGAATTTCTGGATCTTAGCAAAAATAGGTTAACCAGTCCAATCCCTCCGTCTTTTGGTTCCATGATCAATCTCAAACTCCTAGACTTGAGCACAAATCAACTAATAGGACCAATTCCACAGGAACTTTGTAATCTGCAAAACCTAGAAACATTGAACCTTAGTATGAATAACATCACTGGCTCCATTCATCCACATATAGAATATCTGAAGAACATAAAAGAACTCGACCTTAATCATAATCAGCTTTCTGGTGTGATTCATCTTGAATTTAGAAACTTGTCTAGTCTCTCTTACCTTGATTTTTCATCAAACCGTTTGTCCCGGAATGTATCCTTTCAGTATCCGTGTAGATTACAGTATCTAGACCTCTCTGATAATTTCCTGACTGGTTGGTTACAACGGATTAACTAATTGCTACCATTTAAGGTATTTGGACCTTAGTGATAATATTTTTGTTGGAGAAGCAGTTATCTGTTTTAATTTCTTATCGTTGGAGTACTATAGTCTAAACGTGTCTGGGCTTGATAGGGGATATTGTAAAAAAACTGACTATGGAAGTGTTTATGAAGGCAAGCCCTCCAAAGAACACAAACATATCCTCCTTTTGGAGATTCTTCTTCCGATGATTGTTGGATTTTGTTTCTTAGTGATTGGTTATGTGCTTACCATCACAAAAAGGCCACAATGGAGAGAAGTCAACCAGAACTACAAAAACATGCATACAGAATTATTGGCTAGAATTATGTTATAACCATCTACAAATTAATGTTGTAAAGTACGACATATTGGATATCATATGAATGAGTCCCAGATTTATCAAGCTTTCGTGTTGATCGTCCGCTTTCCTAATGGTAGTTCAAAATGTATCCTTTTTTTCTTATTAATAGCAATTGTGACATTGCAAGGTATTGTATTTACCTAAATGCCAAATGAGAAATCTCATAATTTTACAATCTGATGATGAAACGTAGGCACATCATAATACACTCTAATGCGAAATCATGGATAGAGTTATTTACAAATGTATCAAGACTACTATTTTACCAGCCTTATTTTTTACAAAATAGTTTGCAACTATAAGATTAAGAGGCTTATAATGAAAAGCATACAATATTGACAAACAAGAACCAGTTTAGGTAAGAGATCATACTGTAATACTCAATGAGCATAAGGGTTGTTTGATATGCTTCTTACTAGGTCTGGTAAAAGGTTGGATCGGATATCATATTTAGAAGTCTATGACTCGATACTCCCTCTAAAATGCTTCTTACTCGATTAGATTGATCACACCTTAACTCAATCATCGACTATCAAATAGCCTCTTAGCAAATAACATAGGAAATAATCAAATTTAAGATAATAACATCAGATTGTAGAAAAAAGACTGCAAACCCCATCTATATCTGAAGGAATTACCAAGGATTAGTCATAGGATAAGAGTAATCTCACACTTTGTTTTTCGAAGATTTAAGCATGTTGTATCATGAACTAACTAATTAGTAAATATCACCGGTCAACCTAATTGGAAGTTTTTTTCATAATTATTTATTTATTATTTATTTATTTATCATTGGAGGCTTGCAGCAAACAGATTGAGTCAAATGTCAAAGGAGCACACATTAACCTGAGATTCAATTATTTTCGTGTCATGCAAAGAGTTGCAACAAACAGAACCATTTTTTATCCGAGTGATTGTAGTTGTAGAAAATATAAAACAAATTGAAATTTTAAATTGATTGGTCCTATTATATATACTATCAATTCCTAAAAGCTTATCTAAGTTAACTTTTTTCTCTTTCATCTTTTGACAAGGATGTTGTATTGTATTTCTGATTTTGTGCACTGAACTTTTTTCCCTTCCATATTTTCACATAGAAGTTCACGAACCACCATAAGGGTTTCCATTCTTATCTGTTTTAATTGTTGTGTTACTGCCTTCATCTTTGGAGATTCTTCTGTTCCATTTTTTCCCGACTTTCGACCGTTCTCTTCCACCATCTTCTAAATTGACTCTGCTTCCACCTCACATACCCTCCCCTTCCCCCCCCCCCCCCCCTCCCTGCGCGCATACTGTTGTTCCTCTAAACCCGTCTCATACTCGAATTCCTCTTAACTTGGAGTAGACGGGATATCCGAGAAACGATCATCCCCTACTGTGCTCGCCTCCGCTTTCTCCCCGACCACCATCGAATCTATTCTATTCCTATTCCTTAATCTCCACCAGAATTCTACCCCCGTTCGAAATTCCAACGAAAACAGATGAATTCCTCAACCAAGGTTAGCTTTCTGCTGCTATGTGTTGCTATATGGTGCTCAAAAGGAGGAGTGGACAGAGACTATGCAGAGAAAACTATCATCTTGCTTGCCTTGCCACCTGCTTCTCTCTTCCCCTGACTTAAAATCATTTGGGTTCCATTCATTTTGGACAAGACATTAAGAAGGTATGAACTTTGAAATTCAATAATCTTTTTTTTTATTATGGCATCGAATGCTTCATTAGTACCCATTTATGTTTACTTAATTTAGAGGAGATGATGTCGTCTGTTCCAGGTACCTGCCTGAGTGGTCTCCATGCTACACCAAGAAAACACTTCAGTTATACCCATCCACCAACTGCTCGATAAAATGCCCGAACCAGATTGTTAAATTTTTATTCAAATATATGAGTCTAGGTAATCTTAATTTTGTGCTCAGTTAGTGTTAAATGTTACTTTCTTAATCCCGTTTTGTGATGGAATAGTGGTCAAAGTATGATGATTCATTTGGCTGACTTTATTTCAGGATTGAAGAACTTTGATTCCTTGTGCCTACAACAATACAGAGACTATTTTACCAATTCTATTCTCTGCAATTCTTGGCTATGTATTAAGTAAACCCTAAAACAACGAGTGAACTTCATATATTAGAAGATTCGAAGAGGATAGCTCACTGATGGCAAGAATGAAGGAGCTATTGTAGTCGACAGTCAAGGACAGTTCGCGTGATGGTAAAGACAGACTACGGACGAGAGGGAGATGGGGCCACCGATTAATGTGAACATTGTACCTTTTGTGCGGTTGGGGTTTATTAATTATATATTTTTGAAATAAATTTTTTAATAATCTTTTATATGAGTTTTATTTTTTGAAGTTCTGTCAAACTAGGGACTATGTTGGTAAATTAATATGTAGATACTATTTCTGTTATTTTGCGGACTATTTCTATGATTTTGTTAAACAAGTGCGTTCATTTTTGTAATTTTGCAACTGGATATGCATAATTTTTGTCCATTAATGAAACTTTTGATAGGTCCATGCTGGAACATTTCTTTTTATATTAAGAAAACTGCACATTAAACATGTGTTGAACATTGAATTTGAATCTAAAAGTTGACATAATACATTAGTTTACATACAAGTTTCCCTTTCAGTTTCACCTCATATTTCTAAATCATTCATTCTTAGAAATAAACATTTCTTTAAAAAGAATGGCAAGTTTTCAATAAAAACTACATACATGGTTTATGAAATAATTGAAGAGAATAAATTTTGTGGTCCTAACTGTCGGAAGAATGGCAATTAAGTTAGCTCTTAATCCTGTGTTTCATGAAAAAACAACACATTTTGACATTGATTCGCATTTTGTTAGAGAAAAAGTTTCTAATGGAATTTTAAATTTGGTTAAAATAAGTTCTTATGAACAAAATGTTGATATTCTTACTAAATCTTTAAATATAAAACAACATGGTTTTTTGTCTAAAAATGGGTCTTATTGATGTTTTTAAGAAAGAAAAATAAATATTTCGATTGAGGGGGATGTTGAAAATATTATATATAATAACAATCTCATATTTATTGGTTTAAATGAAAATTATTGTTGGTAAATGGTCTCTTATGTTCAAAGTTTATTCTTTTGGTTGTTAAGTGAAAAGTGTAGGGAAAACACGCTGGTCATCAACTTGGGTCAGTTCTCTTTGGGTTGATACCATATCCGGTTAACTGATGTATACAGAGAGAGAGAGAGAGAGAAAGAGAGAGAGAGAGAGAGAGAGAGAGAGAGAGAAGGATCGCTCAGTTCTCATCTCTTCAGATCAAAGTTAGGGTTAGTCGATTAGGGTTTCTTTCAATTTTCTTTCACTTCTTGATCAAGTTTGTTCATTTGTAATCTTTGAGAGTGTTTTTTACTCTTTTTTGTTTGAGTGTTGGTTTCAGGTGTGTTATCAGTTTGATTGATTAGATTAGGCTAAGGCCTTGTTTGGTAGCCTCTTAATTGGAAAATTAAGAGGCAATCACTTAATTTTTAAGATCCAGACTGTTTGGTAACATCTTAATTTATAGCTCTTAATTTTTAAAATGTCTCTTAAATTTTCAGATCTTGAGATGTATCTGAATTAGAAAAAAGAATGCGCGTTCCTTTTTTGCCCTGGTAGCCCCTTTCCCTCTTCTCGTTCTTTCACAACCGCCGACCCCTCCTTCCCCTACATCTCCAATCGCACGATTACAACTCTCCGACATCATCCGTTTGCCTCCGTTAGATCTGCAACGCCGCCTCCATCGTCGGATTCTACGCCGCCTTCGACTGCATCGCTTATGCCGCCTTCGCCTCCGGGTCGTGCTGCTTCGCCCTCGACATCTTCTTCAGGTAAAGTTTTAGCTTTCTCTTGCTATGTAATTCGAGTTTAATGATTGAAAATTGAGTTTCAGAGTTGTTTCCCCTAAAATTCGAGTATTAGAGCATCGTTCTAATAACCACAACTTTAGGTCCTGACTGAAGTTGATTTATGTATCTATATATTTGTCTGTGTGATGTTTGTATCTCTTTATCATCTCCATTGATTTTTCACTTTTCATCATTTCACAATTCTTGCCAAGATGTTTTCAAAGATAGTAAAATCAACATGGATTTTTTTCTCCTTTTTGGTCTCTGTGTCATTTATTCCTTTTTTTGTATGGCTAATCACAGAAATAAAACAACCCCTTTAGAAGTAGGTTATTATTACTTATATTTAACCCTTATAAAAATGAATCCAAAACAAATGGTATATGCAAGAACATAGTCCAATAGTACTGTTGAAAACCTAGCGAATATAGCAATGCACTTGGAAATTTTTAACAAGACGTTTATGGCAGTGAAAGTGCAAAGTAAAGGTTCTCGTATTCAAATAAGAGATTTTTCAAAGTATAAGAAGAAAAAGAAGAATGCTATAATAAACAAATAATGTTGTATATACAAATAAATATGGTGAGAAATGGTAAACTTTAGAACCATAACATGAAAATGGAAGAAAATTACACAAATCACCCTTATGTTGTTTGTTTGTGTGCAACCGCACACTTGTAACACCATACATACAGGCAAATTTTATATAAACAAGGTCTCATTTCCTTGACTTGTTTATTACTCTCATTTTCCTATTACAACATTTTACTTGCTCTCAACACTTACCCAATTATAGCAATGTCATTTCATTTTCACCAATAGAAGTAAATTCCTAATAAGATTTTTTTTTTTTTTAAGTATGATGTCATAGTTGGTGATGGATTTGATATGCAATTTCTATATATATGTTTAAAGTGTTTATTTGTTTCCTTGTTGAATTTGGATTTGTAGGTTGAAATGTTTGAAAGAAAAAATTGAGGGGCTATCGTGTTTGATGTAATGATGGACAAGGAGTACAAATCGATCATCAATTGTTCGGTTGCAAGTTTGTTGTCATTTATATCTCAACATTCAATGTCAAATATTTTGTTTTTTAACTTTGAAATCTTTGGGATGTAAAAAATGATGTTATTTTTGTAAATATATGTCAAAAAGATATTATAAATCATTGAAGATAAATTTTAATTTATATTAATTTCGATTTTATATGGTGTTATATATATTTTTAATTATTCAGCAAAAAATAATACAAAAGGGTAAAATGGTCATTTTGATAATTCAGCATAGCAATTCAGAGGTTCCAACCAAACAACATTTTAAAAGTTCAGATCTTAAAAATTCAGACCCTCTTAGAAATTCAGATCTCTTAAAAATTCAGATCTTAAAAATTCAGATCCTGCCAAACAGCCCCTAAGAGTGTTAAGTTGTGAGAGTAGATTAGGGTTTGTGTAGTGAGTTTTCAGTTGTAAGTTCGTGAAAACCTTCTGTTTCTTAATCCTCTAATGATATAAGAAATGAAGTTGTTGGGAAATTTATCTTGTTTGATTTCAACATGTATCATTAACTAATTAGTAAATATTAGCGGTCAACCTAATTGGAAACTAATTATTTATTATCATTATTATTATTTTTATCATTGAACGCTTGTAGGAAACAGATTGAATCAAATGTCAAAAAAGCACACATCAACGTGAGATTCAATTATTGCAGTACTTTTTATCTGAGTGCTTGTAGTTGTAGAAAATATAAAACAAATTGAAATTTTAAATTGCTTGGTCTTGATTTGAAGAGGGCGTCATATGAATTTTGGAAGTCAAGTATATTCTGTATACCTACATTAACAGGGGAATACAAAGAAAAAATATATACAAAGGAAGTAAACTAGAGATCCTATCTTTTAGGCTTAGAAAAGGAAACACAACAATAAAAGGACTAAAGTTACGTGAATAAGATAAGGAAATGATCAATAATTGGAACAATCCAAAACTCCCCCTCAAGTTGGAGCAGGAAGGTTGCAAATGCCCAACTTGTCAAGTAGACATTGGAGTTGTTTAGCTCCCAAAGCTTGTGTAAACAAATCCGCAACTACAGACTTAGTGTTGATGTGTAAAGGTTTCACTTCTTTTGACTCGACGCATTCACAGACAAAATAGCAATCCCTTTCAACGTACTTGGTGCACTCGTGAAATACCGGGTTACTAGCAATGTGTTTCACAACTATGTTGTCACATAATAGTTGAGTAGGATCACTTTCTTCTAGACCTAACTCTTTTAGAAGCCATCGAAGCCAAATGACTTCACTAACCTTAGTTGCCATTGCTCAATATTCAGCTTTTGTGGAAGACCGAGACACAACAAACTTCCTTTTCGATTTCCATGATATCAAGGCGCCCCCAAGAAGTAATAAGTATCGGGTCCTCGAGCTTCTTGTATCTGGACACCCAAGCCAATTTAAATCGGTATAGGCAATTAAATTTTCTTCACCCTCCTTTGGAAGAAGTATCCCATGTGCTGGTGTAGCTTTCAAGTATCCCAACACTCTTATAGCAGCATTCATGTGCATTTCACGAGGATCTGCCACAAACTGGCTTAAAACACTAACCAAGTAGGTAATGTCGGGCCTGGTTGCTTGTAAGTATAACAATATTCCTACTAGTCTTCTATATTTATTTGCATCCGCTCGCTTATCTTCATCATTCTTCCGGAGTTTAGCATTTTGCTCCATGGGAAAAGTGCTAGGCCGACATCCATCATTCTGTTATCCTCCAGGATATCAAGAATATACTTCCTTTGATTGAGCACTATTCCGTCTTGAGTACGAGTCACTTAGATACCTAAGAAGTATTTCAAGGGGCCTAGATCCTTAATGCTAAAATTCTCATTCAAGAATGTTTTTGTTACTTTGATCCTTTTCACATCGTTTCCCACAATTATGACATCGTCTACATATATGAGTGTCGCCTCAAATGAGTTTTTTGTTTTAAAGATGAATAATTAGTGGTCCGCTTGAGACTGTCTGAAACCGATCATATGTAATGATGAAGTAAAATTTTGATACCAATTCCTTGAAGCTTGGTTGAGACCGTAAAGGGATTTTCTGAGACGACATACTTTTTTCCTTTCCTTTCTCGAAACCTTTTGGGATTTTCATATAGACCTCTTCGTGTAGATCTCCGTGTAAGAAGACATTGTTTACGTCAAGTTGATTGATAATCCAATTTCTTTTGACCGCCACTGCTAAAAGGGTTCAAACGGTGACGAGTTTGGCTACCGGGGCGAACGTGTCATGAAAGTCAATGCATTCCATTTGGGTGAAACCCTTTGCTACTAGTCTTGCATTGTATCTTTCAATCTCACCATTTGGTTTGTATTTTATTTTATATATCCATTTTGAATCAATCGGGCGCTTCCCTTTTGACAATTCTTCAAGGGTCCATGTACCATTTTGTTCAAGGGATCGTATCTCCTTCTTCATGGCTTCTCTCCAATTCACATTTTGTACAGCTTGGTTGAGACTATTTGGCTCATTATTGGTGCTAATTCCAGCTAGGAATGCTCTGTCAGAATGAGTGCAATTTTTGTAAGAAATAAAATTAGCTATAGAATGTACCGTAGAGGAGTCTTGATTGGTGACGGGTGTTGCTTGGTCTATGGATGATGGCAAGTTGACAATGAAGTCATCGAGGTAGGCCGGCCACGACCTATTTCCTTCTTTCTCTAGTGAGTGACATATTTTCAATATTAACTTCCACCGAATCTTCTTCATGTGTGTGTGAATTATTTGACTCCATGTGCATACCATTCGAATTTACATTCACACTGTTAACGTTGTTGTGCATGGGGAAATCACCTTCATGCATATTTTGAGGAACATTAACTTCTTCATGGTCCACTGGTCCACTTTGGTCATCTTCTTTATTAGTGATAGTTTGTTCATCGGTAAAGGTTTTATGATGCCATGTGGGTGCTTCAAATATATCGCCTTCTTCACTTTCAATTTGTATTTTTTCTTTATCATGGGGAAAATTATTCTCAACAAATTTTACATCTCTTGACACCACCATTTTCTTGTTCTTTATATCAAAAATCTTATATCCCTTTGTGCGACATGGGTAACCCAAGAAAATTCCCGGTCTCCCCCTTTCCTCGAACTTATCTCCTCTCGTTTCTGTGTTGCGATAGTATGCAAGACAACGAAAAATTTCATGTGGCCATAACTTGGTTTTTGGTTGTAAACAATTTTGTATGGGGTTTTGTTGTCAATTGTCTTGGAAGGGAGACGATTTATGATGTAAGCTGCTGTTAAGATGCACTCACACCAAAAGGTAGAAGGTAACTTGGCTTCAAATCGTAGAGCTCGTGCTGTCTCGAATAGATGTTGATGTTTTCGCTCAACAACCCCATTTTGTTGAGGGGTATGAGGACAAGTGGTTTCGAGAAGAATTGCTCATTCTGTGTAGAAGTTCACCATGTGATTCGAGGTGAAATCCCCCCATTATCACACCGGACGCTTTTTACACTTTTATTATATTGAGTTTTGATCATTTTACAAAAACCAATCAAGCAATCACTTGCATAAGATTTATGTCATAAAAGAAAAACCCATACTGACCGACTAAAATCATCAACAACCGTAAGAAAATAATTAGCATGCGTAATTGAAGATGTTCGATATTTTCCCCATATATCGCAATGTAAAAGTTCAAAACACTCTGTTGATTTGATAGAACTAGTAGAAAAGGGAAATCTAGTAAACTTTGCCCTTGCACAAGAGTCACAAACCATATTGTTCGAGCTTAAAGAAAAAAAAATCAAAATGTGAAAGTTTGCTATGTGAGGCATGTCGCAAGCGTTTGTGCCATACTTCACCTGTTGTTGCTAAGGCTTCTCTTTTATTTTCTTTGACTTTCATCCGATATAGACCTCGTTGGCAACTACCCGTCCCAATCAATCTCCTCGAACTCAAGTCTTGCATGACAAAAAAATCTAGAAAGAATGTTATGGCGCATTTAAGTCCTTTTTTTTAACCAGATAACACATAATAGGTTACACGTGAAGTCCAGAACATATAAAACATCTCGGATTTCACTCACGTTAGGTAAAGTACAAGCTCCTTTTCCTTTTACAGGAATAGAGTCGCCATTTGGTATGGTCACAGGTAATTCATGTCATGATTCAACATTGTTGTGAAAAGAGTCGATAATGTGGGTTATATGCTCGGTACAACCTAAGTCTACAAACCAATTGTTACCTTCATCAAATATACCTGCCATGTTGGTTATCGGTTGAGCAACATCAATATTCTGAGATTTTTTTGCTGTGAAAAGATTGACAAATTCCCTATTCTGTTCGCTGCTTAGTCCGGATATAGTAATCTTTTCATCACCATGCTTATCATTCATTAAGTCTCGTTCTATTTCAACAAAAGCTGCTTTCGCTTTTCCTTTTTCTGGTTCCCTTTGCTGGGCCACCATTCCGGGTACCCGATCCGCTTGAAACAACTGTCGCGAGTGTTTCCATCTTTCCCGCAAAAATCACAATGTTCAACTTTATCGTTTCCTCCTCTTTTTCCATTTCTTGGACCCATTTTTCTCTGTGACCGCACATCAACATCATGCTTTATGTGAGCTTGAAATGTAGCCGTTTCACTATTGGTCCTTTTTCCAGTTGAGAATGCTCTTTGCTGCTCATCTTCTGCCACAAGATGGTATGCCTCGCCTAAAGTAGGAATAGGCTTCATTGCTAATATTTGGGTTCTGATCATGGAGAACTCATTGTCGAGTCCAAGTAAGAACTCATATAATCTCTCCTTGTCTCTTAGTTCAGTGAGTCTTTTACTGATCCCACATTTGCAACCTGCATAAGAACATTTAGGTATATTAAAAACTGAACTTATCTCGTCCCAAAGTGCCCTTAGCTTGGTGTAATATGTAGAGACAAAAGCCCCATCTTGCTTAGTTGTTGTGAGAAGTTGGTTTAGTTCATACGCCCTAGGTGCGCTTTCCTTCTCGAAATGATCACAAAGGTTGTTCCAAATTTCTTCGACAGTGCTAGCGTATTTGACACTAGATCTGATCTCCCTTTCCATGGCTGTAGTCAGCCACCCTTTAATCATGGCATCGCATCAAAGCCACCCCATGTGATTATCGTGTGTCTTCTCTGGTTTCTGAAGGGTTCTGTCAACGAACCCTATTTTATTTTTCGCAAATAGAAAATTCTCCGTTTCTTGAACCCAATCAAGATTAATGTTTCATTCACATGCATTTGCCTCGGATTGAGGGGTGAACATAGTAAGGAGAGCCATGGTCGGATGTTTCTTTGTTAGTCTTGTTTGATGAGCCGCTGCCATTGTCGTCTTCCCCAACCATGTTGAATGGAGATTGTGATTTTAGGGTTTTGTTCAAGCCGTTACCCGCTCTGATACCATACGAATTTTGAAAGTCAAGTATATTTTGTATACCTACACTAATAGGGGAATAAAAAGAAAAAATATATACAGAGGAAGGAAACTAGAGATCCTGTCTTTTACGCTTAGAAAAAGAAACACAATAATAAAAGGACTAAAGTTACGTGAATAAGATAAGGAAAGGATCAATAATTGGAACAATCCAAAACGTCAAGGCCTCCTATTAATAAATACTAAAGAACGAAAGCAATCCAATTAAGTAAATCCTAAAACGTGTGAACTTCAATATGATCTTCCAATTAAATTCCGGAAATAAACAACTCGGGGCATGGGTTGAAAGAAATTAGAAGATTCGAAGAGGATTTCTTATTGATGGCGAGAATGAATTAAGAAGCACGAAAACTCCATTTTGGGCGACGTTCCCGTATCTGGAACGGCCAAGAAACAGATACGCCATGGAAACGCTGTGGAAACGTTTCCGTGACGTATCAGCTATCCAAGAAACGTTTCTGTGAAGTTTCTGCAAAGTTTCCATTTTTTTTAAACAGCTGTTTGCCATAAATCCAAAATTCGAAACTTTTATTGGACGGATACTTATGAAATCAATTAAATGATCATTACAGAGTTTAAGAGATAAAACGAAAAAAAAAAGAAGACTATAAATTAGTTGAGGAAGAAGCCTTAGTTACAGAGTCTCTCGAAGAACGCTTTGTTGGTATATATAAGTTGTCCAAATACCGGCGACGCAAAATGCGAGCTCCAAAGCACGGAGGAGACCGACGTTGTGTGACTCCATCGGTGCCGGAATCTTGGTATCAAGTGTAAATCGTTGATTCTTCAGAATCAGAGATTGGACAAAACGCTTCCGAAATAATGGTGCGGTAGTAGAAAGGAGTCTTCAAGTAGCATGTTATATATATATATATATATATATATATATATATATATATATATATATATATATATATATATATTCTAGAATCCACGTTAGCTTTTCGTACGTGGAGGCTTTTGATTGGATACGTGACTAAATGCTATCATCCTATTGGTTAATGGATACAGTTAAGACAATATAAATTGTTCAAATAATTTGCAGTAACACCCTTGTGGTTTTACAGATTCCATAAATATAATCCCTAAACTTTAAATGTTTAGATTATCAATCTGTTCTTAATTATTATTAAGAATTTTCAATTTTGTAACCATGATTTTTTTATAATATATATGTTTTTTTATAATTTTATATCGCTGTATCTCTGCCGGATCCGTATCTTGAAATTTTGAGTTTTGTCGTTTCCCGTTTCCTGTTGCCGTATCCGTTTCCGTGCAACTTAGGGAGTTAAAAGGCTTCGATTGTAGTCGACAGTCAAAGACATTTGGGGTGATGCTAAACACAGACTAGGGACGAGAGGGAGTTGTGGCGACCGATTTCTGTTATACTAATTATATATATTTGAAATAAATTTTGTAATAATACCTTATATGAGGTTTATTTTTCCAATTTCTGTCAAACTAGGGACCATGTTGGTAAATTAATATGTAGATACTATTTCTGTTATTTCATCGGACTATTTCTATGATTTTGGTAAACAAGTGTGACCATTTTTGTAATTTTGCAATTGGATATGCATAATTTTTGTCCTTTAATGAAACGTTTGATAGGTAAACACTAAACTTATGGTTTTGGTGTCGCCATGTTGAACCTGCTAAGTAGAACATTTCTTTTTATATTAAGATAACTGCACATTAAACATGTGTTGAACATTGAATTTGAATCTAAAAGATATAACAAAACAAGTACCTATTGACTTCAGGTCTCCTTTTCTACATTGACTCTAAACTTCTACAGTCTCAATATTCATAAAATGAAGTTATGAGTTGTTCTTACTTGCCACATTATCAAACAATGTGGAACACCTCCTAAAAAATTAGCATTCCAGTGCACACATTAACCATTCTGATGATGCTTTCTTTCATGTTTGCATCCTGGTGTCCTGATATTCAACAATGTCATAATGGTCAGAATTATTTCACTTGCAACAACGGAAGTGTAGTTGAGATAAACATAAATTCCAGAAATAAACAGTGTCTGAATTTCATATATGATCTACTCGTTAAATTCCAGAATTATTTTTGTAATTTTTGTGATATACGTGGACCATGTCAGTAAACTCAATAGCATGTAGATAACATTTCCGTAATTTTGGTCTAACACGATGACAAATTTTTTTTATTTGGATGTTAGACGAGACCATTTATGTGATTTTGTTAAACAAATGGGACCATTTCTATAATTTTGTTTAAACAAATCAAAAGTTTGGACGAATTTTCATGATTTCGTGAAACAAAAAGACAATTTCTATGAATTTTCTATTAGGAAATGATCTTTTTAAACATTGAAAAATAGACGCCATTTTTGTAAATTTGTATAGGCAAGGTCAATTTTTTGTAATTTTATGAAACATAAAGACCAATTCGGCAATAATTTAAGTAGGGACCATTTGCCTAAATTGCCATGTTTCAGGGAAGATTTTCATAAATAGACATGTTTTCAAGGACCATTTACATAAATTGACACGTTTTCTTAAATCTGTCAGGAAATTCTACGGGAAATCAAAATTTATAAGAAGAGATAAAACGGAGATGGAAATTTGGTAGGAAATTCTTAAATAGATTCGATGTGAATTGTGAAGAGACATGAGAAAAAAATTAATGTTTATATGTTATGATGTTTATGAGTTTATATACAAGTTTCACTTTCAATTTCAGAGTCGTATTTCTAAACACTCACTCTTTGAAACATTTCTTTAAAAAGATTTGGAGAATATGCAATAAAAACTACATACATGATTTATGAAACTGAAGAGAATAATTACTGGGGTCCTAAGTGTCAAAAGAAACACAAACCATACAAGGGGTTAGAAAAAATAGAACAACACAAGTATTGACTTCAGGTCTCCTCTTCTAAATTATATAGTCTCGATATGCATAAAAGGAGGTAATCAATTGCGCTTACTCATCACATCATCAAACAATGAGCAGCAAATCCTCCAACATTTGCATTCCCGTGCACATGTTAACCATGTTGATGATGCTTTCTTTCATGTTAGCATCCCCGTGTCCTACTGATCATGTTCAACGATATCATAATGCTTGGACTAATTTTGCTTGCAACAATGGACGTGTAGTTGAGATAGACATCCGTTTTTGTGATGATAGTGGCCTGATAAAGGTAATCATTTCCTCATTTCCGAGTGTTGAGAGGCTTTATGTTTCAGATAGTAATCTTACAGGAAACATCCTACAACAGATTGGCTTGCTGCAAAATCTGACATATATTTCTGTCTCATGGAATTATAACACAGGAGGTACCTTTCCTGTATACATTACCAATCTCACCCGATTAGAACACCTTGACCTTTCAGATAACAATCTCAGCGGAAACGTCCCATCTCGGTTGTGGAGTCTCAAGAATTTGAAGTTTTTGGATCTTAGCTACAATTGGTTGACCGGTCCAATCCTTCAATCTTTTGCTTCCATGTTCAATCTCACCCGATTAGAATACCTTAACCTTTCCAGTAACAGTTTAAATGGTACCCTTCCATCTCAATTGTGGAGTCTCAAGAATTTAGAGATTCTGGATCTTAACCAAAATCAATTGACCGGTCCAATACTAACATCTTTTCGTTCCAAGGTCGATCTCACCAGATTAGTACACATCAACTTTTCCCGTAACAATTTTAGTGGTACCCTACCATCTCAGTTGGGGAGTCTCAAAAATTTAGAATTTCTGGATCTTAGCAAAAACAGGTTAACCAGTCCAATCCCTCCATCTTTCGGTTCCATGATCAATCTCAAATTCCTAGACTTGAACACAAATCAACTAAGAGGACCAATTCCACAGGAACTTTGTAATCTGCAAAAGCTAGAAACATTGAACCTGGGTGACAATCTTCTTCAAGGTCCAATTCCCTCAGCTTTGGGTTGTTTAAGCCAACTGATACTTTTGAACCTTGGTATGAATAACATCAGTGGCCCCATTCCTCGACTTATAGATTATCTGAACTTAAAACATCTCGACCTTAATCATAACCATCTTTCTGGTGTGATTCATCTTGATTTTACAACCTTGTCGACACTCTCTCACCTTGATTTTTCATCAAACCGTTTGTCTGGGAATGTATCCTTTCAGTTTCAGTTTCCTTGTATATTACAGTATCTAGACCTCTCTGATAATTTCCTGACAGGTTACAACGGATTAAATAACTGCTACCATTTAAAGTATCTGGTCCTTAGTGATAATATGTTTGTTGGAGAAGCAGTTAATTGTACGAATTTCTTAGGGTTGGAATACTATAGCCTAAAAGGTTCTGAGCATTGTTGGGGATATTGTACGGAAATTGGCTTTATATGCAACACCTCCAAAGAACACAAATCCATCCTCCTTTTGGAGATTCTTCTTCCGATGATTGTTGGATTTTGTTTCTTCGTGATTGGTTATGTGCTTTACCGTCATAAAAAGGCTACCACACAGAAAAGTCAACCAGAAATACAAAAACATGGAGATGTTTGCTCGGTATTGAATTATGATGGGACACTTGCATTCGAAGACTTCATCAAGGCAACAGAAGACTTCGACCTCAAATATTGCATTGGAACCGGTGGTTATGGAAGTGTTTATGAAGCAAAACTGCCAAACGGTAAAACATTTGCTTTGAAGAAACTCCATCGGTTTGAAGCCAAGCAACCAGCATTTGACAAGAGTTTCAAGAACGAGATCCAAGTCCTAACCAACCTAAGGCACAAAAACATTGTGAAACTCTATGGTTTTTGTTTGCATAACAATTGCAACTTCCTTGTATATGAATACATGGAAAAAGGAAGCCTATTTTGCGCATTAAGTAACACTGAATTCGCTGTCATATTGGATTGGAAGACAAGGGTAAACATTATCAAACAGGTGGCGCATGCTTTGTCGTACATGCATCATGACTGCAGCCCACCCATCATTCATCGAGACATATCAAGCAACAACATTCTCTTGAACAAAGAAATGGAAGGATTTGTGGCTGACTTTGGAGCAGCTAGATTGCTCGACCCTGATTCCTCCAACCAAACCGTTGTCGTAGGAACTTTGGGATACATTGCTCCAGGTATGTATGTGTAGATTCTAATGATTCCTTTAGCTTTTTTAGTAGATGAAATTACACTAAACAATCCTTTGGTATAAACATGTAGAACTTGCATACAACATCATTGTGAACGAAAAATGTGATGTGTATAGCTTTGGAGTTCTTGCACTTGAAACAATTGGAGGGAAGCATCCCGGAGACCTTCTGTCATCCATCAACTATTCTAACGGGAAAGGTGCAACGTTGGAAAGCATATTTGACAAGCGACTCCCTTATCCAACTGATGATAGACGGATTGAAATGCAAATTCTCTGTGTTTACGATGTTGCACTAGCATGCATTCGCATGGACCCAAAGTCTCGTCCAACAATGAGAAACATATCTCATGAATTATCCAAGTGATATTGCACCATTTGTACCTTATGACCATATCTTTGTTCGTGTGCCTTCCGGTTGAAATTTCTTTCAAGTTTGTTTTTATATGAAATCTGTTTATGTGATCTTATTGTTTTTTATTCAAAACTAGTTCTTGTATACATAATACATCAACATGATGTGCATTCTTGTGCAATTGATATGAGATACAAAACTTGGTGTAAACCTAATTGAAAACTAAAAAAAATATCATTGCAGGCTTGCAGCAAACAGATTGAATCAAAACAGCACACATCAATTTCAGATTCAATTATTGTCCTGTTCCTGTCACTACAGCAAAGAGTTGCAATAAACAGAACCAGTTTTTGTCCGAGTGCTTGTAGAAAATATAAAACAAATTGAAATTCAAATTGCTTGGTAAGTAAACCCTAAAACAGTGACTGAAATTCATATATGATCTGCCAATTAATTTCCCGAAATAAACGACTCGGGGACAGGGTTGAAAGAAATTAGAAGATTCGCAGAGGAGAATAGCTTACTGCTGAATATGGAGGATTCAATTTCTCATAGAGGGTGTTTTGGTGGTTGTCGAAGGTGGTGCTCTTGTGTTCTTAGATACCAAACAGGAGAAACAAAGAGAAATGAAAGTGGATGTGAACTGCTTCCAAAAGTTTTGCTATTTTACACCAAAGAGTAATAGGACTGGATGTGGATTGAGTAATTTTCCTTTGTTCGTCATCTTTATTTCTAAAATTTCTACTAGATTAGAATCTGAAACTTGTAAATTGATTTCCCCCCTCAAAATTAAAATCAAAACCCATATTCAAATCTGAATCACCCAACTTGATTTTCACCCTCTCCCTCGTAACTGACATGGGGAGTTAATAAGTAGCAGGTTTCAATGATTCAATCGATAGGTGAGGTAATCATATTTGGTTATGCAATAAATTTTGCGATTGAACTCTGAATCGACGACCCCTCGTCATCATTGATTTCATCTCCTTATCACTCATACACATGTAAGTCAAAGCATAAAACAAAAGGTAACAATTTCACCCCACTTTCTTTCTTTGATTTGCTCTGCTTTTGTTTAGGTCTCCGATGAAAATCTATAGACATTTGGTTGGGGAGTTTTCTAGCGAGGGAAGAAGATGTCGTGTAAAGAGGGTGGGTAAGATGTCGTTCAAAAAGGAGTAGTGCCATCCAAAAGTCATCGTCTTCGGTGGTTGTTCCGACAGCAAAGAACGGGATAATTTTGTGAAACAACAGGACAAAATCTGTAAGTTTTTTATTAGAAAAGGACCATTTTTGTAACTTTGAAAAATAGAGATCATTTTTGTAAATTTGGCCTAGTCAGAGTCCCATTGTTGTAATTAAATTACCTCCTACCTTTTATTCCTACAATTATTCCTACCCACTAAAATTATAACAAATCACCATTCAATTTAATTGTATTTGATATATTCCTAATATAGTCTTAATGATTTAGTTTAAAAAATATGGAAAGATGACACTTGTCATAATTTTATTGGGTAGGAACATTTGTAGGCATAAAAAATAGGAATCAATTTAATTTCTCTTTACATAAATACGCATGTTTTTCTAAATCTGTCCTAAAATTGTATATATTTATATAATTTACAGGAAATCAAGATTTGTAAGAAGAGATATAAGGGAGATGGAAATTTGAGAGGGAATTCTTAAACAGATTCGATTTGAAGAGATGTAAAAAGTTATACGTAAAAAATTAATGTTTATATGTTATGATTTTATGTAAATTTATATATTATGATTTTTATGCAAGTTTATATAGAAGCTTCCCTTACAATTTCACTGTCATATTTCTAAATCATTCATGCTTAGAAACATTTCTTTAAAAAAAAGAATGCCAGAGTTTGCGATAAAAACTCAGACATGGTTTATGAAATAACTGAAGAGAATAAATATTGTGGTCCAAACTGTTGGAAGAAACACAACCCATATGAGGGGTTAGAAAAAATATAACAAAAAAAGTACCTATTGACTTCAGGTCTCCTCTTCTAAATTGAGTCTATCATATTACCATCTTGATATGCATAAAATGAGTTTATCATTTGTCCTTACTCGTCATATCATCAAACAATGTGGAACACCTACTCCAAAATTAGCATTCCCATGCACACGTTAACCATGCTGATGATGCTTTCTTTCATGTTAGCATCCCGATGTCCTACTGATATTCAACAATGTCATAATGGTGAGAATTATTATATCACTTGCAACAACGAAAGTGTAGTTGAGATATACATCTATAGATGTAATGAAAGTGACATGATAAAGGTAGTCATTTCCTCATTTCCAAGTGTTGAGAGGCTTTATGTTTCAGATAGTAATCTTACAGGAAACATCCTACACCAGATTGGCTTGCTGAAAAATCTGACCTATGTTTCTCTCACATGGAATTATAACACAGGAGGAACCTTGCCTGTATCCTTTACCAAACTCACCCGATTAGAACACCTTGACCTTTCAGATAACAATCTCAGCGGAAACCTCCCATCTCAGTTGTGGAGTCTCAAGAACTTGACGTTCTTGGATCTTAGCCACAATCAGTTGACCGGTCCAATCCCTGAATTTTTTTGCTTCCATGGTCAGTCTAGCCCAATTAGAGCACCTTGACCTTTCCGGTAACAGTTTCATTGGTACCCTGTCATCTTTTGGTTCCATGATCAATCTCAAATTCCTAGACTTGAGCATAAATCAACTAAGAGGGCCAATTCCACAGGAACTTTGTAATCTACAAAAGCTAGAAACATTGAACCTTAGTATGGATAACATGAGTGGCTCCATTCCTCCACATATAGAATATCTGAAGAACATAAAACAACTCGACCTTAATCATAATCAGCTTTCTGGTGTGATTCATCTTGAATTTAGAAACTTGTCTAGTCTCTCTTACCTTGATTTTTCATCAAACCGTTTGTCCGGGAATGTATCCTTTGAGTCTAGCTACCTGTAGATTACAGTATCTAGACCTCTCTGATAATTTCCTGACTGGTTACAATGGATTAAATAACTGCTACTATTTATCATATCTGGACCTTAGTGATAATATTTTTGTTGGTGAGACAGTTAACTGTTCGAATTTCTTATGGTTGGAGTACTATAGTCTAAACGTGTCTAGGCTTTATTTGGGATATTGTACAGAAACTAACTTTCTACGCAAGCCCTCCAAAGCACACAAACATATCCTCCTTTTGGTGATTCTTCTTCCGATAATTGTTGGATTTTGTTTCTTAGTGATTGGTTATGTGCTTTACCCTAATAAAAAGGCTACCACAGAGAAAAGTCAACTTGAAATACAAAAACATGGAGATGTGTGCTCGGTATTGAGTTACGATGGGACACTTGCATTCGAAGACAGAGGACTTTGACCTCAAATATTGCATTGGAACCGGTGGTTATGGAAGTGTTTATGAACCAAAACTGCCAAACGGTAAAACATTTGCTTTGAAGAAACTCCATCGGTTTGAAGCCAAGCAACCAGCATTTGACAAGAGTTTCAAGAACGAGATCCAAGTCTTAACCAACCTAAGGCACAAAAACATTGTGAATAATTGTCATCATTATATACATAAAAATTGTAAGATACGCATTGGATGATGTATATTTCTCTAGAAATCAATATATTAACACCCTAAATGGTCAATTATTTAGTTTTCCTTCAAAAATTTACTGATTCAGGTAGAATTGTCATCAATTTATACATAAACATTGTAAGATACACATGGGATGATCTACATTTCTATGAAAACCAATATATTAACAACCTAAACCTAAGTGGTAAATTATTCAGATTTTCTTAAAAAAACTGAGTCTTTCGGTGTCCGATTCAGGTACAATCATCATCAAACTATACACACACATTGTAAGATACACATTGGATTATCTATATTTCTATGAAAATCAGTACATTAACACCCTAAATGGTCAATTATTCGGTTTTCTTTAAAAAACTAAGTCTTTCCGTGCGTGGTTCGAGTACAATTGTGATTAATATATACACAAACATTGTAAGATATGAATTGGATGGTCTATATTTCTCTGAAAATCATATATCAACACCCTAAATGATAAATTATGGATAAATGGAACCAGAGAAAATACCCACACCGTCCGTTATTTTTAGAATATGTGTATATGTGGTAAGTGACAGATGAAAAGATCCACATATTCACATTCTCTCGTAAGTCGGCTTAGAGTGGATAACTTATTTTCATTATGAATGTTGTTTAGACAACTGCGATGTATAAACAACAATATACCTATGGATTTTCCCCACTTCCTCAGTTGGTTATTAGTTGGAGACTAATTGGGTGATTAAAGTAGATTATTCAAAATGTTCGGTTAGTTGAGGTTGACGACGTACAAATCGATTTCGTAACAAGGTGAACGTTCATCATCCTAATGAACCCCCATAGATGTGGAATATATCATCAACCTGGTGAAACTGTTCAAATTCTCGATTAAGATTTAATACAAAGTGAGCTGTGTAATTTTTTTGTCTTGTAATTTGTGTTTAAGTTATTCAGTAATTTGGTTTTTAAGTTTTCTTATAGTTTTATGTTTAATTAATCTTGTAATTTTGTGATATTGTAATATATTCGATTTGTGTTTAAGTTCTTTTGGATTTGTTGGTATGTTTTTTCAAATGGTATAATTTGCTATGAAAAAAGAATCAATTATATTTTTAATAAATAAATTTATGTCATATACAATAAAGAACAAAAAGTAGGGTTTTTAATGTAAAATATGTAAATAAAATGACATAATACTTGAAATAGTTGATATATAAAATAAAATTTGAATAAGACAATATGTTGTTGATTTAATATAAAAGATGTAAAATGAATATAATAGAATACTTGAAAGGGTTAATATATAAAATAAGGCTTATTATTTTTACACTCCATTATGTAAACACTCCGGTCTATTTAGGCTATTTTGACTTCCTTTTTACTGGAATGTTTGACTAATTTTTGTTGGCTTTTTGACTATATTCCAGAACTATTTACAAGAAAATTACCCACTTTCCCATGCTTAATTTTTTATTTTCCAAAGTTAAAACACAAAAAACATTAACTAATTAAATTTACATTGACTATAAGTTTGTTTACTTAATCACTAAACTTAATAGAAGTTTAACTTAATGGAAGTTTAATACAGTATACAAGCTGCCAGAAAAGAAAACATGTTAGCCGGAAAATAGTCGACGGAGTCGTTGTTCGCCGGAAAACGGTAAGTTCTTTCTTTCCAACTTTGTATCTTCATTTATATGTTGTTCGTCGGGGTCGTTCGCCAGAGGCTGCCATCCGAGTTGGTTGTGGCAGTTCTCCGACGGAAAAAAAACGGAGGTAAGTTGGTGGTGGCAGTGCTCCGTAGAGAGAGAGACAGAACGGGCCGCATTTTGCGGCGGCGACATGGTGGCCAGCGGCGGCGACATGGTGGCCAACAAGATCGAAAATCCGGAGAGACGGCGAGTTGGTTGCTGCAATGCTCCGTCGAGATAGAGACAGGAACGTGCCATATATTGTGGTGGCAACATGGTGGCCAATGAGGTCTACAATCCGGCGAGATAGATATGGAAGAGGGATACGTTATGTTAGATGGTGTGGAAACTGATTTAGGGAGAACTAGGGTTTTTTATAAATATATTAGACAATTCTTTAAGCCTTCTAAGGATGGGCCCAGTGGCAACATGGACCAAGGTGTCCATTTTCTAAATCTTAATTAACGAAAATCAGGTGGTGCTATAAAATAATTGTTTTGGTTATGCTATTTGAAGTTCTCATGATTACTTTACATTTACTTAACACAAACTTATAAAATAATATATATTTTAAATAAAATTTAGGTTATTAATTAATATTTTTATTTTGTTTTTTTATTTTTCTAGGAAAAAAATGGAAAATATTTCGGAATTTTCAATGGACCAAGTATATCTCTAATCTTATTATTTACTTATTTGTAATTAATTGATGTATTTTATTGGTTTTTTAACATGGTTTTTTTCAATTGTTAGGTCTTTAGATCTCGTGGGGATTTAATGATGTGGGTGCAAAATGTGGCATGTTCACAAGGTTACGTTATCGTCACTAAACGATCAAAGGCAATAACTAGGGACTTCATTTCTAAAATAGTACTTGGTTGTAATCGTGGTGGTGTAGCCAGGAATAAAGATGCGCAAACAAAAAAAATTAATTGTCCATTCAAATTGATAGGAAATTATTTGAAAGCACACGATGGTTGGAAGTTAAGGGTCGTACGTGACGAACACAATCACGAACCAGCAATGTACATGGAGGGTCATCCTTTTGCAATGCGTTTGTCGGATAAAGAAGCTCGTTTGGTGCAAGATTTGACAGAGTTGGATGTGAAACCGCGAAATATTTTGCCAACACTAAAAGCGCAAAATCAAAATAATGTGGCGTCATTGAGAACTATATATAATTTTGTCCAGAAGTTGGGGAGATCTCGGCGAGAAGGTAGAACCCCGATGCAGAATGTTATGCACATTTTGCAAACTAAAGGGTACAACTTACAGTATCGTGCAAACACGATTACTAACGAGTTAGAAGATCTATTTTTTTATTCATCCAACATCATTAAAAATGTGGCAAGCATTTCCATATGTGGTGTTGATGGATGCTACATATAAAACAAACAAGTATAATCTTCATTTTCTAGAAATTGTTGGTGTCACTTCTACAAACAAGACGTTTTCCATAGCCTTTGCATTCATGCATAATGAAAAAACAAGCAACTATATATGGGCATTGACTTGTTTGAAATTGACGATTAACGATTCATTTTGTCCTCGTGTTATCGTCACTGATAGAGATTTGACATTGATGAAAGCATACGGAGATGTCTTTCCACAAAGTAATCATTTACTTTGTAGGTGACATATATTCAACGATATAACAAAGCATTGCAGACAACGAATCAAACCACAAAAGACTTGGAATTCTTTTCATCTAAAGTGGATGAAGTTAGTCGAATTTCCAACACTAAATGCATATATGCAAAATTATGCAGACCTTCAAACATTATTGTTCGAACATGCAGGTATTATTCTTATATTTGTTGAAGTCTTAATTTCTTTAATAATTATTATTAATTCATTCAAACTAATTTGTTTTTTTTCACCTTTTAGATGTTTTTGATTATCTTTATACTGTTTGGTTGGGGAAGTATGCTGAAGATTTGTATCGTTGTGGACTGACAAACATGTCAGTTTTGGAAATTCAACAACAAACAGAGTCGAGAGCCAACACGCCAATCTGAAAAAACACCTAGAATCTGCTAAATGTGATTTGGACAAATTCATACGTGTTATTGAAAAAGTTGTACAATCACAAGAAACCGCTATCAAAGAAACTTTCCCACGCTGCATAATCACTTATATGCCAAGGTTTAAGGATCAGATATTCGAAGTACTGCGAAAACGTGTTTCAGTGCATGCTATGGATAAAATATTGGAAGAGCTTCATCGGTCAAAAAGATTTGTACCAACTCCTGAGAATTGTGGATGTCAATTGCGGACATGTTTTGGATTACCATGTGCTCACGAACTTGTGATGTATGTCGGTACAGGTATGTTTAATCTATTGGATTAAATTGACATTTTTATACTTATAACCACTTTATGATATTTTATCTGTTTGACTATAGGTTCACCTATTCCATTAGATTCGGTTGATGCTTTTTGGAGAAAGCTTGATTTGACGCCTTCTATATCTGTGGAATATGGTGATCTTAATGTTGATCATCGTATGCAAAGGTTTAAAGAGATATACAACAATCAACCAGATCATATCAAATATAATTATTTAAGGATAATGGAGGAGATAACTGATCCATCAACAAATTTGATCAATGAACCTTCGGTTAAGAAAAATAACCGTGGACGCCCAAAAATAAAGCGTGACCAACATCAAAGTCAAGCTCATCACAGATACAGTTGTTCAGACTTAAACCAGGAGCTACCATGGTATAGTTCATCCTTTATGGACTTGAACGATGATCCGGCCAGACATAGTTCATTCGTCATGGGTTCGTACGAGGAACCAATAGGCCAATGTTCATACAACATAAACTTAAACGAGGAACCAATAGGTCAATGTTCATACAACATAGACTTAAATGAGGAACCAATAGGGCGGTGTTCATACCAGACAGACATGAACGAGGATCCGATAGGCCAATGTTCATACAAGATTGACTTAAACGAGGAACCACCATTGGGACATAATTCATTGTTGGATGAAATTCCATCTATATTTCATCCATACATCACACATATACAAAATGTATTGGGTGATGGAAATTGTGGTTTTCGATCAGTAGCCGTTTGTCTTGGATATGGTGAAGATCAGTGGCTTTACATTCGTCAACAATTGTTAGACGACTTATTTTGTTCATATGACGACTATATAGAGTTTTCGTTGGATGTGATGAAGTAGTTACTTCATTGTCTTTCTTTACGAAGAATGAGTCAACACCAACACAACATTTGATGCTTATGCCTGAGACAGGCATCTTGATAGCCAACAGGTTTGGTGTGATCGTTCAGTTTTTGACCACTGAAGGCCCCGTAACTTTTTTTCCTCTTTGGAGAGGTCCTAGAGAGTTTCAAAATAATCGGGTCCTTACATTTGCACTTGTGTACACCAATCATTATGTGATGGTACAATTGGAAGGAGAGTACCCAATGCCTTCCATTACGACATTGTGGATCCGCAACAAAGCCCCGTCAGCAACCGAATGGCAAACTATGTATAAGTCACGGCTAGAATTTTATAAGCATCTGAAACCTACTGAAAGATCTTTTATGACTATAAATGGTTAGTTGTTGCTTGTTTTTGTATCAAATTTTTGCTATGTAATATTTGAAATTTAAAAGAAAAAAAAGATTGGTGAGGATTTGTTTAGAATATTTTTTTGAAATTTATATCGTTATTATCTTATTTATCTTATAAACGTATGAATAAATGGTCCAATTTTTTTCAAAAAAATAGTTGTATTAACATATGTAAATCACAATAATAAGTTAAAGACTAAAACATGTTACTGTAAAAAAATACGACGTACATAGAAAAAGAAAAATCATATTTGTTACTATTTATTTATAAACTATTATTTAAATAATAATAAGATTAATAGAAATCGTTAATCGTAAGAAATAGTTAATAATTGAAAAATAAAGTTAATAAAATTAATTGGTCTGTGATTGGAACCATATCTCATTTACGTCAAAGTACGAACACATATTGCTTCGATATTCCAATTTCAAACCATATATATATATATATATATATATATATATATATATATATATATATATATATATATATATATATATATATATAATTCAATAACTTGATCAAGTTACCATGAATTTTAAAAGTTTATGCCGATAATTGAAAAATAAATAAAGTTAATAAAATGATTATATAATAATAAGATAATAAATAGTAAAAGTTAGTAAAATATTAGGTAACATAATAACCTATATAGATTAGAGTGTATTATACTATATTAGAATTAGAATGGAGTTCTACGTCAACACCCATAAAATAAACCATTAAACGACAAGTGGTCGTTGCTTTTTTGTGTGGGGTCATCCAAAAAAGTAAGAACAACTGATTTTACAAATGAATTTAGAATCAATCCACTTTTGCAAATAATTTCTAAAAACAACTCATTTAAAAATAAAAATAATAATTATACAAAACTGTATTGACTTCAGGTCTCCTCTTCTACATCGACTCTAAATACTCTAGAAGAAACACAACCCATACGAGGGGTTAGAAAAAATATATCAAAACAAGTACCTATTGACTTCGGGTCTCCTCCTCTACATTGACTCTAAAATTCTATAGTCTCCATATGCAAAATGAAGTTATTAGTTGTCCTTACAAGTCACACCATCAAACAATGCGGAAAACCTCCTCCATAATTAGCATTCCTGTGCACACGTTAACCATGCTGATGATGCTTTCTTTCATGTTAGCATCCCAGTGTCCTACTGATATTCACGGATTATATTATTGTTATTGTGGTTGGAATCATTTCACCTGCAACAATGCAAGTGTAGTTGAAATAGACATATTTCGTCGTGATGAAAGTGTACTAAAAAACTTACTCTTTTCATCATTTCCGAGCCTTGAGAGGTTAGAAATTTCAAAAAGTAATCTTGAAGGAAACAGCCTACACCAGATTGGCTTGCTGAAAAATCTGACCTATATTTCTGTCTCATGGAATTATAACACATGAGATACCTTGCCTGTATCCTTTACCAATCTCACCCAATTAGAATACATTGACCTTTCTGGTAACAATCTCAGCGGAAACCTCCCATCTCAGTTGTGGAGTCTCAAGAACTTGAGGTTTCTGGATCTTAGCTACAATCAGTTGACATGTCCAATCCTTCAATCTTTTAATTACATGTTCAATATCACCCGATTCGAACACCTTGACCTTTCCTGTAACAGTTTCATTGGTACCCTGCCATCTCAGTTGGGGAGGCTCAAAAATTTAGAATTTCTGGATCTTAGCCGAAATCGGTTAACCAGTCGAATCCATCCGTCTTTTGGTTCCATGATCAAACTCAAATTCGTAGACTCTCTTACCTTGATTTTTCATCAAACCGTTTGTCGGGGAATGTATCCTTTCAGTATCCAAGTATATTAGAGTATATAGGCCTCTTTGATAACTTTCTAACTGGTTACAACGGATTAAATAACTGCTACCATTTAACGTATCTAAACCTTAGCGATAATATTTTTGTTGGACAAGCAGTTAATTGTTCAAATTTCTTATGGTTACAACAATATAGTCTAAACGTTTCTTGTTGGGGATATTGTACAGAAATTGGCTTTCTATGCAACACCTCCAAAAAACACAAATCCATCCTCCGTTTGGACATTCTTTTTCCCATGATTGTTGGATTTTGTTTTTTAGTGATTGGTTACCGTCGTAAAAAGGCTACCACAGAGAAAAATCAACCAGAAATAGAAAAACATGGAGATGTGTGCTCAATATTAAATTATGATGGGACACTTGCATTCGAAGACTTCATCAAGGCAACAGAGGACTTCGACCTCAAATATTGCATTGGAATCGGATGCTATGGAAGTGTTTATGAAGCGAAACTGCCTAACGGTAAAACATTTGCTTTGAAGAAACTCCATCGGTTTGAAGCCAAGCAACCAGCATTTGACAAGAGTTTCAAGAACGAGATCCAAGTCTTAACCAACCTAAGGCACAAAAACATTGTGAAACTCTATGGCTTTTGTTTGCATAGCCAATGCAACTTCCTTATATATGAATACATGGAAAAAGGGAGCCTATTTTGTGCATTGAATAACAATGAATTCGCTGTCATATTGGATTGGAAGACAGGGTAAACATTATTAAACAGGTAGCCCATGCTTTGTCATACATGCATCATGACTGCAGCCCACCCATCATTCATCGAGACATATCAAGCAACAACATTCTCTTGAACAAAGAAATGGAAGGATTTGTTGCTGACTTTGGAGCATTGAAATTGCTTGACCCTAATTCCTCCGACCAAACCGTTGTCGTAGGAACTTTGGGATACATTGCTCCAGGTATGTATGTGTAGATTCTAATGATTCATTTACCTATGTTAATTAGTAGGCGAAATTATACTAACAAATATTCGGTATAAACATGTAGAACTTGCGTATAACATCATTGTGAAGGAAAAATGTGATGTATATAGCTTTGGAGTGCTTGCACTTGAAACAGTTGGAGGGAAGCATCCTGGAGACCTCCTAACGTCTCTCAACTATTCTAACCGAGAAGGTGCAACTTTGGAAAGTATATTTGACAAGCGACTCCCTTATCCAACTGATGACAGACAGATTAAAATTGAAATTCTCCGTGTTTATGATGTTGCACTAGCATGCATTCGCATGGACCCAAATTCTCATCCGACAATGAGAAACGTGTCTCAGGAATTATCCAAGTGATGAGTCACCATTTGTACTTAATGACCATATCTTTGTTTCGGTACCTCCCGATTAAAACTTCTTTCACGTTTGTTTTTATGTGAAACCTGTTTATGTGGTCTTATTGTTTTTTATTCAAAACTAGTTCTCATATACATAATACATCAACATGATGTGCATTATTGTGCAACTGATATGAGATTCAAAACTTTGTGTAGAGCTAAAGAACACCGGACTTCCTCTGTAGCATCCTTAACGTATGAACTAAATGTTAAATCTTCAACATGCCTATACCCAGGCACTTGCATACAGAATTTTTGGCTAGAATTATGTTATAACCTTCTACAAATTAATGTTGTAAAGTATGACATATTGGATATCATATAATTATGAGGGTCCCAAATCTATCACTCTTTAGTGTTGATCATCTGCATTCCAAATCGTAGTTCAAACAACAATTGTGACATTGCAATGTATTGTGTTCACCTAAATGCCAAATGAGAAATATCATAATTTTACAATCTGATGATGAAACGTAGGCCCATCATAATAGGTATTCATTACAAAGACAATACAGAAAATAGAAACCAGTAAAACAATACATAGAGTATAACCATATCTTAGATTACTTACTAGATGGTGAATGCAATAATCGTTATGTGAACTTGATGACTAAGGCCTTCTGGTATAGATAGCACGGGAGTGTTCGTGGTCTAGGTGGCCATGAATCACGACCATGCACAACACCCTGGTGGTTCGTGGTCGTGGCCCTCCGTGCTCCGGACAACGAACCCAAATGGCCAATAGTTTAATTTCTTGCATTAAATCTCGTTTGACCACTTTCTTCTCCTCCCTAACGGCTTCTTTTCTATTTCTTCAACATTCACCTATAAATACTACCACTCATCTTCTTATTTTCATACAATTCTTCTCCCATTTAGATACATTTTTGTTGTTTGATCCTTTAAAAACTATGTCTCCCAAAAATAATAAATGGTTAGAAGAGGAAGAAGAGAAATTAGCACATGGTGATAGTTTCGGAAGACAATGCTGGTAAAACTTCCGGTTCTTTTTGGATAAATGTTGAAAGTGTTTTCCATGGTTTTATGGGTTGTGCAATTCAAAATGTTGATGAAATATGTTTGAAGTGTCGCGATATGAGGCCCAAATGTTCTGAGTTCAATGAAATTTACAATTTTGTTGTAAACAACATACATGAAGCTGGTATCGATCCAGTTAATGTGGCAATGGAGAAATATGAAAACACAAATCATCAACGTTTTAGACATGTCATAGCTTAGCAAAAATTGAAGAATTCTTCAAAATGGAATAACTTTGCTTAAAAAAACACAAATTAGAAGTTTGATATTTTATCCTTTTAATTCTTAATGTTATTTTTTTGTTTTTTATTTTAGTTAATGTAATTTTTAGTTTTAAAGTTATTTTAATTTTTTTTCGTTTTACTTAATGTAGTTTTTAACTAATGTAATTTAGTATTTTAAATTAATGAAATTAGTATTTAAAAAACAATTATATGATTTTTTTGTATTTTTTAATTAAATTTAATTAAAAAAAATAAGGTGGAGTGTTATGTTTAGTGATAGTTATCCTATGTTAGTGGTAGAGGAATGTGATGTTGATGTGACACTCACTACATATGTGGTATGTAGTAGGTATAACGGATAACCTAAGATGAGCCAATTCACACTCTAAAGTAAAATGGAGAACCTTTTAATGGCTCAGGATCCTTTACATTAAGTATAACAACTTCGAGATGATAATGGCAAAATGATACATTATTCGATACATAAATTGAAGATCTTTTCAAGAAAGACCAATTATGCCATCCAGGATACTCTGTAATGCGAGATGATCATGGCAAAATGATAAATTATTAGGAAATAAACAATTTTAAGACAATAACATCAGATTATTGAAAAAAAGACTGCAACCCGATCTATATCAGAAGGAATTACCAAGAAGTAGTCACAGAACAAGAGTAATCTCACACTTTGTTTTTTCAAGATTCAAGCAAATTGCATCATCTACTAGTTAGTACAAACCACCGATCAACCTAATTGAAAGCTAAAAAAATATCATCGTAGGCTTGCAGCAAACATTTTGAATCAAACCAGGACACATAATTTTAAATTCAATTACTGTCATGTCATTACAGCAAACAATTGCAACAAACAGAACCAGTTTTTGTCCGAGTGCTTGTAGAAAATATAAAACAAAATGAAATTCAAATTGATTCGCCCTCATTTGAAAGGCCTCCTATTAAGTACTATTAGAGAACGAAAGCAATCCAATTAAGTAAACCCTAAAACAGTGACTGAAATTCATATATCATCTTCCAATTAAATTATGCAAATAAACAACTCGGGGACAGGGTTGAAAGAAATTAGAAGATTCGGATAATAGCTTACTATTGGACAAAGGTGCAGGATTCAATTTCTCACAGAGGATAATAGAAGAAATTAGATGATTCCAAGAAATTAGAAGATTCGAAGAGGATAATAGCTTATTGTTGTATATGGAGGATTCAATTTCTCACAGAGGGTGTTTTGGTGGTACTCGATGGTGGTGCTCTTGTGTTCTTACGCCTTGTTCGTGAGTTTTTTGTAAATTCATTAAAGGATAGGGAGGGAAAATATTAACGGAAGGAAAGATAGGGGAAGGAAAATTTTATTTAATCCGTGTTCCCGAGTTCGAAGGAAATGAAAGTAAAATTTTTAGTTTATGTGTTCCCGAGTTAGGAGGGGAAAGAGAAGAAAATTAAAAGATTACAATTATACCCTTATTTACATATCATGCGTAGAACATGTAAAAAATATGAATAAACTACAATGAAAATCAAAATCAATCAAAAACATTTAATCAAACAATCAACTAATCAAATAAACTCAAGTCAACAACAAAAAAAAAAAAAAAAAAAAAACAGAAAATCAAAATTCCCCCTCTTACAAATGAAGTCCAATGCAACCTACTATAAAAAAATCCCATAAAACCGAAAAATATGAATCAATAAAAAGATCTTTCACATCTTCATTGATGAACTAAAAATTGTCCTAGCGTCGGCTTGATTACACAACAAATATATGAAAGCATCTGCGAATTCATTGTCATCCAAACCCATCAACTCTAACTCTTTCTCGATTTCCTCACCTGTATAGTCACGAGATTTGTTCCCTTCCCTCATAACATCAACGATTTCTTTAAATGTTTGCACAATATTGTGTTCAAAAGATTCTGGTTGAGGTTGGGGTTCAGGTTCAGCTACTACTTCATCTTCATCTTGAAGTTTTTTTTTCTAGTTTTCTTTTTTTTACTCTCCAGTTTCTTGGCTTTTGAACTCCCATCAGGTGAAACATATGTTGCTGACACTATTTGAATGTCCTCATCATCATCTTTGTCTTCGATCTCTAAAATTACCTCCTTGTTTGCCATTAGTTTATCCACATCAGCAATTTTTTCAATTTTGATTTCTTTGGATTTGCTTAACCGGACATTTTTTTTTTCTTTTGTTGTTTTTTCTTTTGATCCCGATGCTCTATCATCTGAAAATAACATCAGCAACTGATTGTAGTTTGAATTTTTTTTTTTTTTGGTCCTGAATGCAGTTGCTTCAAGGTTTGCCTGTTTATAAACAAACCAAAAAATTAATTAGTAAAGTTAATATTGGGTCAAAATTATGGTTTATACTTTGTTTTTCTAGGAAAATATATTTTTCTATAATATAATATGTAATTTTGTGGCTGTATACGGCCGTACTCGTGTGTACGGCCGCACACCTGTGTACGGTCGTACACGGGTGTACGGATGGTGTCTCATACATATAGGGTGAGGAGTGCATGCAAGTGTACAGTAAGAAGGCCTAGAGAAGAGTAAGAAGAGAGGAGCATCTTGTAGAGAGAAAACTAGAGAGAATAATAATGTATGTGAGCGAGAATCTGGTGTAAGGAGCAGGGCCGGTCCTGAAAAATGAAATATTCTTAAAGTCCCAGGACGAACAAGAAAAAAAAAGGCCCTTATCTTTATTATAATTTTATATTTTTAAATAAAAATATATAATCAAAAAAATTAGGCCCTGTGCAGCTGCCCACTTTGCCCTCCCTCTAAGCCCCCCATGGTAAGGAGCATAATTCATATCATCAATACATAATATTCATCATCATCTTCTTCTTCTTCTCTTCTATTTGATCTGACATCATCCAATTGATTGAGATTCTGCACCATCAATTGGATCTGATTGATACACAATCAGATTGGGGACTTACAAGTGGTATCAGAGCTTGGATTGTATCAGTCAATTTTGTCAGATATGGAGCTTATTTGATCTTATTTTGAAAATATATTTGCGTTTTTGGATAGATCTCTAAAAAATAAGGGGGGTTTCTTCTTTGCATTTTTATAAAAACGAGTTTTTGATCGAGTTTTGGAGCAAAAAGTGGTGAAAAACGTCGTTTTTTTGCGAATATATTGAAGGTGTGCAGCTCGGAGTGTGCGGCTTCAGACGGTATTCTCGGCTAAGTAGCTTCGAACGGTGTGCGAGGCTTCGGTCGTCGGAGATCCTGGTCAGCTCAAGACTTCGCAACATCTTATTAAAAAAAAGGAAGGGAATTTGTAGTAGCTAGGAATCAAACTTGCGCCATCCCCTTAATCAAAGAAAGGCCTTACCATCTGAATTAGCTTGTTGGATGGTTTCTTCCTTCCATTTTTAAAAGTTAAAGCGTCTTTATTTCGATTCAACTCTCGTATTTTTAACACTTTTCACCCCAACAACAATTTACTTTTATTTTGAAAATTCCTTTTTCACCCAAAAATTATAGTTTTTAATTTTTGACTTTTATTTTTGAGTTTTTACTTAAAATTTTGACTTTGACTTTAAATTTGAACTTTGACTTTCTCGTTTAACTTTCTAATTTTCAAATTTAGCTTTTCGGTTTGACTTTTAAGTTTGACTTTTTAAATTTGGCTTTTAAGGTTGACTTTTGAGTTTTTAGTCAAAGGGGAATATATATTTTTTTTAATAAAAATGAGTTCTTCATCCATTCCGGTAAATGAAGTTTCGTGTACTCCATCTTGTGAAGCTACGATTAAATTTCTTCACGATCAAATCGATTTATTAAAAAGAGAAAATGAGGACCTTAAATATGAAGGCTATACTCTAAGGAAAGGTCAAAAACCCTTAAAAGCATAATTAGAAGCCAAAATCAAGGATTTCCGAAAACTGCAAGAAGATTACAGCAACAAGTGTGAAAATTACGATCACATTAAGAAAAAACTTGTTGTTGTAACTGAAGAACTTGACGCTTTGAAAATTAAGTGTGGAAAAATAGATGTTAGTTTCAAAAATTATACTGCGTCAAGTAAGACAGTCGAGTCCTTAGTAGAAAAACAATTGAGTTTTAAAGATAATCAAACCAAGGGTTTAAGGTATCACAATGTACCACCTCCTTTTAATCACAACTATAACCCACATCTTGAGACCAATGAGGAAGAAATGCCTGCTCAGTATGGCTAAACCCCTGCTCCAGCTTCAGTTAAGACTAAACAATAAAGGCCAACTGAGGGTGTTGAGGTGAAGAATACTGATGTTTCTACTTCCTGTGTAGGTAAAGTAGCGGAAGATGAGAACAAGGAGAACACTATTGAACAATCCAATGACTCCTTGAACTATGAATTTGTTGCTTCTAACTCAGTTACTTCTGATCAACCTGTTGTTGATAAATACAGGCCACCAATTCCAGTGAAACAGAGTGCCTGTTGTAATGGGTTGCGGCTTCGTAACCCTTTCGAGAACGAGTTATACGTTGAGCGTAATTAGGAGTATGCAGGGCGTACGCCCAGAAAAAAATCTTGAGAAATCTTTGGGTCTTGGGTAATTAGGAGTTTTGGACCTTGTCTGGTTGGGTCATGTAAGGGAACATCAAAATGGTATTTTGCCCTTACTAAGTTAAAGTATAAGTTTTACCTTCAATTATGGGGTTAAAATCCTGATTATTAATTAGAGTTAATTTTTGGGTTGTGATTAGCTACACTACATTCAAATGTCAATATTTGTTCCATGTACAATCACATATACATTTGCTTCGTGTGACCATATAATAATCTATCCTCTCTTATAAAAACCATCACAAATTTTTTCCATATATCTAATAAATTTGTGGCCGATGATGACATTTGGTCATATTGTTCCAATGTGGCTAATAATTGTCACATTTGTTATGTTTAAATATGTCTAAAGATTTTAACTATATTAAATTTGGCTAATAAATGTCACTGGCGGGCTATTATTTTTTTCCGTGATAGAGAGATTGCAAAATTTATGTACATATATAATAAAAGAAGAAAAGAATTGTGTGAAAAATAATGTTTTGAAATGGTAAATTTATAGGTTACTTTTAAAATTTTGATATTTTTTCTTTTTACCTATTAGCTGTTGGAAACCGTTAGTCTAAACATCAAAGAACGGATAAATTAATGTCTCTCGCTTTGTTATTGGGTGTGATCGACCATGGTGTCTACAAAGCCCACCACGAGCATTCCACAAAAGAAGAATAGGGAAAGTGTGTACGGGATGGTCTTATATTGGAATGCACATGCAATTAATTTCTCTCATAAACACACACATGTCGACCCTTTGAAGCTTGTAATTCTTTAGTTCTTGCTTTGTAACTACATTCTTTACTTGTTGATCTTTCTCTATGGTCTCCTCCGCGTTGGTTTTTTCCATATTATCAGTTTCCCCATAGAAGCTGCTCTTTGATTGTATATTTATAATATTTAAATGTTGTTTTCCTATATTCGTTGGTACTTCCTAACATAAGAGATGTTTATTACGATTTAATTTTAATGATTAATTTTGTTGTTGATCATAATGATTTGGTATTGAATTTTTTTGTTTCTATTATTTTACCTCACCCCTTCAAACAAGTATCATAAATATAATGAAATGATAAAACAATATATAAATTATTACTCAAAGAATAATTTTAAATACAATGTAATGATAAACCATATGAAGATGACTACATGAGAAATCCTCTCTCTAGAACAATAAATACCCTATGAAGGTTACTCCAGTCCCAACTAGAATAAACGGTGAATAGACATAATTGGAAGCAGCAGCTGACGGTGTTACGGTGGGACGACTCCCTTGATTGGTAGTGTCCACACCGGTAGATGGTGGCGATAAGTCTGGTGTCATATCAGATTGTGGTGCCAAAGTTGGTGTTGTTTTTGATTCAGGTGCTGAGGTTGGTGTCATCGTCTCTGGTACATTAGAACTACTTCCTGGAGATGGAGCTGGCCCTATCCATTTCAAAACAAGCAATAACTATTCTGAATGGGTTGATACACAAGCCTAAAAGAAGCGTTTTAAGAGAACATTGAAATGATTATTACCTGCCGAAGAAGGAATAGGAGCTGCTGCAGCAGCTGCAAATTTTGAAATGAAAACATAAATGGTAAGAAAAAATCACGACAGATTCTTATACAAACGATACTTTTGTTGAAAGGAAAATGTTGTTGTATCAATATACGAACCTTTACACTGAAGAGGCACACCGGGCATGCGACATGCACGTGGCAGAGAGATGGCAAGGGTCTGGTTGATGGGAATTTGGAAGGGTACGCTGCCTGTAACAATTAGGCAGAGACAATCTGTGCCACTACTTGTGATGGATTTGAGAGAATTGCAACAATCGGAGGTTGGTGTAGAACTTCCGTTTGTGGTGCTATTGGTTATGAAGTTCAAACATGGAGTGAAGGTAGTTATCATTGATGGGGTGCATGGAGTGTTAATTTGAGTGTAAACAGGTGACACCACATAACATAATGCCAGAGCTAAGGTCAGAATTAAGCATCGGAAAGCCATATTTAGGATCAAGTTTTGGTTTGTGGCTGGAGATGGATTGTATTGATAGAGTGAAGGAAAACAAAGAAAACAAAGAAATTTATAGATGGAAGAATTTTGAATCGAGTGAGAAGGTGGTTATGTAGTTCAACTAACTTCAACAATTATGTGTCTTTAATGATCAAAGCTTTTGACTTTTTTTTATTAAATTATTGGTTCGTTAGATTTGGTAAGCCACCTAAAACCGGTAATTTATTTAAAAAACAAAACTAATAATAGGATCATGCCTTATATATATGCAGCCTGCCATATTTTGAAGTCAAAGTTTAATACAAACTAGGGAACGAACAACAAACCACTCTAGCTTCAAGATATCATACACTAAAATATCTCTTCATGCCCTATTAAATGTGACAATAAAAATATATTAAGAGAGATGAATTATGATTTTATTTATATTCAGAAATTATAAATTAGAAGATTAAATTTTTTTTTTCTTCCCGTTGCCACCTCCTGCAATGTAGCTTTTAGTCCCACATAACAAACACTCCACAACAACCAGATCGAGGTGATGGATGAAAACCACATCATCCGGAACAAAAAGATGAATATTTTTCAAGAATAATAAAATCAAATTTCTATAATCAGATGAATAAACAAAGGTTTATACACATCGTTTCAAAGTCAAGCTATTTGTCGGTTCCTTTGCGCGCGTCTCTCTCTCTCTCTCTCTCTCTCTCTCTCTCTCTCTCTCTCTCTCTCTCTCTCTCTCTCTCTCTCTCTCTCTCTCTCTCTATATATATATATATATATATATATATATATATATATATATATATATATATATATATATATATATATATATATATATATATGGGCGTGTTTGGCATAAAGTGTTTAAGAGCGTTCGGGATCTTTAGTTTCTAACGTTTGAGAAAACGCTCCGTTTTGAAGAAAAAGTTTGTTTGTCGTTACAAGCTTTGAGTATAAAATATAAATCATTCAAAGATTTAGACTTTGAAGTTCCTCCAAATACATGAACCAATTTATAATCATACAAAGCTGCAACATGATTACATCTACCAGGTCCCCTAAAAAGTCAGCATAAATATATCTTATCACATTGTTTTAAAAAAAGTCGATAAAAATTTTATTTTTATATATAAAAACAGTAAGTGCAATGAAGAGGAAGGAAGACATGTGAGTGAGTTCCCATGGTTTATCCATCTACGCATGTTTGTGAAAAAACATTAAATGCCCTTTTCAGATTTTTTTTTTTAAATTGGTAAAAAAAAAAAAAAAGATAACCTTGGAGGGTCAGCCTCACTAAGCTCCAAGAGCAGCCCATTTTTCTTCTAGAAATAGATCCAGATCCTCCTGTATTTATATTTTACAATATGGATGTGATGTCATTAATTTATTGGCTAAATATAAAATTATTTCATCCAACTCACTCGATGTTATGTGATATAACACGAGATTTGATAGAATCTTGAATTGGTGTGTACTCCACCCATCTGGGCTGTGAATTTTCACTTAGTTTCATCTGCAAATTAGCAAATAAAAATCTCTCTCTCTCTCTCTCTCTCTCTCTCTCTATATATATATATATATATATATATATATATATATATATATATATATATATATATATATATATATATATATATATATATATATATCAGTGATTAAAAAACACAAAAAGACAAGAATCAAGATTCCATGGAAGAACCTGATATAAGATTCCTGCTTCAGAAAGAGCAAGAACTGTGTGATTGATCAAGAACACAAACACTACATAACCAGCTTGTACATCGAATTCATGAGGTGCAATCACCCACTGCACACCATTCCAAAAAAAACCACTCATAGATCGAACCCCTAACTCCAGTCACCCAAATCGAATCTTCCGACATTTTTATCAATGAAATTCTCTTCCTCGATGCCCAAACCCCCAATCTTTTGATCATCTTTTTTAATCTTCTTCTTTTGTTGATCACCATCCTTCTTTTTTGACTTTTATTTTTGATCCAGTTCAATCGGGTCAATGACGCCGACTTTGGTACACTTGATGTCATTGATAAGCCTTTCTTTGGCAAATCAGATAATTAAGATATCAGACACAAAACCAGTACAGATATGGACATATCGAGATTTATAGACATATATGATAAAAAAAAAAAAAAAAAAAAAAAAGGAAATTCATTACCTAATCGGAGAGTTGGCGGCGGTGGAGATTGGATATCGGAAGCTGAGTCGATAAGGGTGGCGGCAGTTTCTAGAGAGAAGAAGATGGAGAGGAGAAGAAATTGTGATGACTGCGTCTTCTGTGGAGAGTTGGTCGATTTCTTGAATTTGTTATTGCACTCTGATCGCCGCCACTTTTCAGATAAACCCTTAAAAATGAGTAAGCCAAATGTAGTAAATCAAGAGAAATTAAAAAGGATGGATATGTCAGATCAATATCGACCACAACATACCTAAAGAAGAAAGCAGAAACATCCCAAAAGCTCATGGTGGCGACGTTCACAGACAAATCGATAATTGTGGTAGTGGTTGTTCAATCAGAACTTGGCATGAAAAAAAAGAAACAAAAGGTGGAAGATACAGTTGAAATAACCTCTTGTATCGCATCACCGATTGCGGAAGAAATAGATATTCATCGACATAGTGGTGGTGGGTGACGGTGGGATTGGCGAAGGGAGTAATACATGTGGCAAGACCATCAGTTAGACCATTGTTAGACCATCCGGTATACTCTCAACTAGAGCATCAGTGGTCCATGTGGCCACGAGAAAATTTCATGCACACCACCCCGACATTTCGTGGTGGGGTGTGGTCATTGTTCTTCGTGTTCCCGACGACGAGTTTAAAAGGAAAAGTTGATTGGTCATTGGTTTATTGACCGTTGAACGGTCTTTTGGCCTTTTTTTTCAATCTGAATTCAATACACGTAAATAAACCTTTTATTTTCACCAAAACTTACATCTTAATTCTAACCTTCATTCTCTAAAACCACAAAACACATGCACATGGATTCCACAAAACACGTGGAATTCTTAAAAACTTTTGACTCAGATGACGACGTAGAATTCGTCGAGACATTCTTCAACGTTGTGCAACACATTCACGACGAAGAAAGTTCGAATGTTGCCCGTACAAGGGCGGTCGTCAATCGTGATCGCCAAGCCGCAAACGACTAATTGGTACGTGATTACTTTGCCGATAATTGTCTTTATAATGACGACTCTTTCGAACGTCGTTTCCGTCTAAATAAGGCTATATTTTTACGTATTAGTAATGCTTTAGAATCTCATTATGAATTTTTCAAACAAAAACCCGACGCTAGAGGAAGAATGAGTTTTAGTAGTATACAAAAATGTGCGGCTGCTCTTAGGTATTTGGGATACAGTATAGCATTTGATTCATCTGATGAATACTTGAAAGTATCCGAGAGGACCACAGTTGAATGTGTAGATTGGTTTTCTGCATGTGTGTATGAGGTTTTTCACGAACAATATTTGCGCAAACCTACTCAACGTGATTGATAGATTATATTCGACTCATGAAGAGAGGCATGGATTTTCGGGTATGCTTGGCAGTCTAGATTGTACGCATGTGGCTTGAGAAAAATGTCCAAATACATGGCATGGTCAGTTCACTCGAGGAGATATAGGTGAACCAACTATCATCCTAAAAGCTATTGCATCTCAAGATTTGTGGATATGGCATGCCTTGTTCGGAGTAGCGGGGTCTAACAACGACATTAATGTTCTTGGACTGTCTCCTATTTTCAACGATATTTGGACCGGCAAAGCACCTAATATGACGTTCACGGTGAACGGGCACGTATAGAAATACGGTTACTACCTTGATGATGGGATATACCTGAATTATTCTACATTGATGAATGCATACTCGGTTCCTCGAAGTGAAAAGACAAAGTTGTTTACAAAAAAACAGGAGTCGGTGAGAAAGGATATCAAGAGCATTTGGAGTCCTTAAGCAGACATGACATGTAGTGAAATATGTTACACGACTCTGGGATAAAGAAAGAATCAAACGAATGGTCCTAGCATACATTATAATGCATAATATGATTATTGAAGATGCAGGTCGAGCGATTTGCATGTATGATCCGAACGACGTTGTCATTCCAATTGAGGAGTTCGTACCCGCAACGAATGAGTTTTTAGAGCGAGTTGTTGAAATTCATAACAGTGAAACGTTTTTTAATCTTCGAGAAGATGTCGCGGAACATTTGTACCAACATAACATGAATGAAGATTAATTTTTTATATGTATGTTTGTTTGTTTTTTTAATTAATGTAATGTTTTTTTTCTAGATTAATTAATGTAGTTTGAAGTTGTAATTTTATTTTTATAATTAATGAAATACTAGTTTAAAAAAATGAATGGCTTTTAATTATTAAAAATGTAATTTTATTGTATTTTTGAATTAAAAAAATAAAAATAATGATGTGGAGTGGTGTATTAGTGGTAAGTATCCCATGTTAGTGGTAGGGGAATATGGTGCTAATGTGGCCTCAGGTTTTAAGTTGATCCAATCAACTGTTCTTGACCCAATTAGAGCTTTCGGTTTTAGCTTGGCCCATTTGGGGTCTTCGGCCCAATAGGAGGACCCATAAGAGATTCTCGGCCTATCAAAGCCCATTGAGGTGTGTTCGGCCCAATGAAAGGCCCAATAGTCTAAGAGTAAATTTCATGGCCCAAAAATGATTGGATTTGGCTTATTGGATTGAGTTTCGGGTCTTCATGTGGTTGCTTCGACTTGAATGACAATGTATGCAAGTATGAACTTAATATCATTGACGTTTGAATTTCACTAAATGAAATGTTTCAAGATTACGCAAGGAGATTTTCTTGTACAAGGGCCAACTTCCTAACCCAAGTTTGCTAGTTGTGACACGTAATAACTATGTCCCGAGATAGTTTTGCTTGCTTGAGAGTTAGTCGAGGTATTAGATTTTAGGATTTTGAGATAATTGTGATGGTTTTCTTTAGTGGTAAAAGTTAGTTGGTCAAGTATTGATTATTGGTCGGGGTGCGTGAATTTTGTTAAGATTGGGCTAAGGATAGTATGGGAAGACATTCCTTATAGAAAAAAAAAACAAAAAAACAAAAAACATAATTCATTTCATATTGTAAATAGTAAATTAAGGTCCATATATATGTTTATTCATTTTAATTTTTCCGTTTGTCGTTTTTCACATCCAAATTATTTAGTTAAACAATACACGGTGGAGATTGTGGAGAAAATACCATGAGAAACCACACAAATACTAAAGAGGAACATGAACATGAACATGAACATCCAAGCAAACTAACAAATTTTGAAATTGAAATGTTGGATGGTCCATGTTTGTAGAAGAATTATGGAAAAGATGCTTGGCCCATGGAGCAATTGGTATTTCAAAATAAAACCCTAGATAATGGAAAATTGATATGTTAAGCCAGGTAAATCACAAAATCAATATCTTATTTTGAAGAGTATTAATAGGAACCTAGAAGATGATATATGTTTACCATACTTTTGAAAGTAGTTGAACTATTCTAGTTCGATTTCATTTCCCCTCTTTTTGGAGTCACTCCTGCATTAATTTTGAGTTTTGATTTCTGAGATTTTTTTCATTCACATTCCTCCAATTTTCATCACTCACACATGACATCCAAACCGGTATATAACAGTTTTGATATAAAAAAAATGATATTAGCACTTTAGAATTCTAAATAATATATAGTGGCTTAAGTTAGATGATACCTTGTCGGGTGACTTAAATAAATGGGTTTTATTTTCTTTATAATGATGTAGAATACAAAGATGCGATTAAATCTAGATAATGCGATGACTGGTGGAGAAGGTGTGCCTAAAATTGTTGTTGCTACTATGTTTTGTAACATTAGTTTAACTGCAACATAGCCATCATACATACTTATAAAGCTAGCATTTTTTTTTTTGAATCTCATGCATTCGAAACCCCTTTTTTAACTTTCTCAAACCACATTCATTTGAAACCCCCTTTTTTTTAACTAACTCAACTCAAAAGTTTTCTTAATTATGATTTAACACTCAAAAGTTGTATAACTTATATTATGTTTAATTAGCATTTAGTGAAAAGTTTACTATAAAAGGCCAATCTGTAACATCCTAAGTTTCAGAGCAAGAGATTGGGGGTGTTAAGTGTTAATGGAGGTCTAGACTCAGTGAGTTAGGAAGGTAACTCGGTGAGTCGAGTCGCAAACGGATCGCATGAATAAGTGACCCGACTCGGCGAGTCGGGGCCAGACTCAGCGAGTTGGTGCTGGAATATGAAACCCTATTTTCAGGGTTTTCACCCTATTTAAAGAACGATATGCCTTCATTTCAGCCTCTATCTTCCCTGAGTGTTCCAGAGAAACCCTAAATTGTGAGAGGCTCCATTGTTGAGAAGATTGAAGCTTGGAAGGAGAAATTTGTGAAGAGAAGTTGGAGGAAATTGGGGATAGCATCAAGAGGGCTTGTGGATCTGAAGTCTACATCAGTTTAGACTCATCTTTGGGGTAAGAAGCCACTACCTTAAGCCTTTTTCCTTATTGTTATCCATGGTGGTTGTTTTGGGGCTTCTTTAGCTTAGTTTGGATCCATTTCAGGTTTAGAGGTTAGATCTGAAGTTGCAACTTCAGATCTAGGTTGTATTGGAGCCTTAAGGGCAGAAAGCATCAGTCTTTAGGCTTGTTTGAGAGTGCCTTGTCCCAAAACCTTCTTTTAGATTGGTTGGAGCTTGTTGAGCCTTGCATGCACGTAAAGTTGGAAACTTTATGTGTGAATCTGGCCCTAGGGGTCCAGATCTATGTATTGGAAGCAATGGAATGGCCTGTAATCGTTTGAATGATGATGTCATGTGTGGACTCAGCGAGTTGGAAGAACAACTCGGCGAGTCTGTTCTTAGAACCCTAGCCTTTTCTGGTTGATCCGTGTCTCGGTGAGTTGAGGGACAACTCGATGTGTTGAGCAGGATGAGACTCGAAGATTGTTGGACTCGACGAGTCTTGGGGTGACTCGGCGAGTTGAGTCGTGATTAGGAGTTTCTGAGTATAAGGACTCGACGAGTCAATGGGTTGACTAGGCGAGTAGGGTCAACCAGGAAGGTTGACTTTGACTGAGGACTTTGACTTGGACCAAGGGTTAACCAGTTTGACTTCCGAGGTGTAGCACCTGGTTCCTGGTACGTATGACCTATCTAAGTAATTTACATGTTTAGCCTTGAACTCGGCGAGTTGTAGGCCCAACTCGCCGAGTAGAGCCGGGTTATTGAGCACGTTTAAGTTGGCGACTCGGCGAGTCCCCGCTATCTGAATGAAACCCTAATTTCAAGGGTTTGCACCCTATTTAAACCAACCTTATGCGCCCCCAAGCCCGACTCCTTCACCCTCAGAGCTCCCCATATCGTCCTAACCCCGTTTCTTGTGAGATTGAAGTGTTTTGGTGTTATTTCTTGAAGATTTTGAGAGAAAAATGAGGGTAGATCAAGAGAAGAAAAAGGAGGCTAGATATCTTGGTGTTATTTCAGAGATTCCTTGAGGTATAACTCAGTTTCCTTCTGTTTTTATGCTAAGAGTCCCTTAGAGCACCGTTAAAGTTCTTCTTGAGCCATTTCCAATCTTATTTATGGATTAGGG